GAGTCACTATATACTGCAGCCGCAGCGTCCTCTGCCAGCATTTAAACCGTGTCACGGACACCCTGTTGCTGGATGAAGCATCTTGTTTGTTGATGATGAAGAGAAATATACAATTAGTTCCTTGTCATTGATTTGTTTACTTATTCAATGCCATTTATACTTGAACATTTGGATTTGATTACATAGTGTAGTAGTTATTTTAGTAATTTGTTTAAAGTGGATATTTATTTTAAATACATATTTTTTAAGGTTGACTTGTACAGTGCTCAAGTCAAGTGTGGACTGGAGTTTTAGATTTTCATTTTGATAATGAAGAAAACAAGTATATAAAAAAACAAGTGGTGTTTCTTTGATTTGTTTACATAATGTTTATTTTTTGAATGTTTGGATTTGTATCATTTAAACCTGCACTGACTACGGTAACACGTTCCAGAAAAATAAGCTATTTGTTCCTTTACTTGTGAAAAGTTGCACTTTTGCTAAGGCTTTGTGTTATTTTAGGTTTAATAAACACTGTTAAACCTTTTCAGAACTATTTCAGTTTGTGTAGAACAGGACTATCAATGCTTTCTGAACATATGCAACACCGTTTAAAAAATACCGCGATAATACCGAAAACCGTGATAATTTTGGTCACAATAACCGTGAGGTTAAATATTCATACCGTGACAACCCTAGTCTCTGCTCAAACTCAAAAATTAGAAACCCGAGAAGTCAACAAGGCAAACGTTCCCAGATTTATCCAGCTGGTGTTTTTATAGCAGGGAGATAAAGAGTTTAAAGCAAAATCACACAAAAAGTTAAAACATCTCAGTCATAAAATCTAAAAATGTCATTTAAAGATTTTTGTCCTTTTTTGGTTAATTTGAAAACAAACATTATTTTTATCAGAATATTGTGTTAAAAGAACTTAAGATGTCAAAGCCGGGTTTGAATCTCTAATGTCTGTCGTATTTATTTACAGCCACTGCACTTTTTAATAATAAAACCCTGGAGTGCGTTCCAGGACATCTTTGCAAGGCTGCTGGGAAAATTCAATTAAATCCCAAATTCTTGCTGAAATTCCATTTCAGACGTTTGCATCATGACCATCGTTGTTTCAGACTCGGAGTCGTTGTGAGGTCCTTACCCGAGCGATTCCACCCACAAACTTCGTCTCGACGACCACGTTGTCTTCGTCTGCCTTGTTGAAAGCTGCCTTCTGAGCCGCCCGCACCAAATTATCTGATGCTTTCTTCACTGCGTTCCCGGCCATCTGCAGAGCAAAAGCAAAAGAAACTGAGAATTAAAAAGTGTTCAACTCATTCACTGCCATTTGCATTTTTTTTACTGTGTGGGCGTCGGACGAGCCCCCACCCCGTGAGAACAAACATCTCAGCTCTAAAGCCCATCTTCATCCGCATACGTCACACGTCACATGATCAGGAAGCAGAACATCCATGTGTTAGGAGATCGTTTTGGGCCGCTGCTGTAAAAAAATTGAGGGGCGAACCGGAAAAGCTTCTGCCGATCACAATTCGACAACGGATTATGAAAGAACGGATAACGCTCGAAACGCGCGGATTCTTCCTGATGTAAGAGGTCAGTCTCCGCTTTGTTTTGGTTGTTTTGGCGTCGACATCATCCTAGCGCGCAACGTTCTGTCACTCTTAAGAAAACAGTAAAAAAAAGGTGAGAAACGCTGGCAACGAAGGACTTTAGCGATCAGGAAACGGCTAGCGGTGAATGAGTTAAAGGTGCAGTATCCCAGAAAATCCCAGAAGAGTCGAATGTTTCAGTCATTTAGGAAGGAAGCTTCTCCTGAAACATATTCCATATCCAGCTGGCTGCTGGGTTGTCAGTTGTTCTCCTTTCCAAATAAAGGAAGGAGCGACGTAACGACGGTTCACCATCAGTGAGTGTGGGGGTGCCGTGTCTCCTGTGAGCCAACGCTGCAGCGCCGACAACAGTAATTTGACAACGGCCGGCAAAAGGTCCCAGAGTTGTTTAAAGTGACTGCAGTAACCAGATTTTACCACAGGATGTCATTTTACTTAATTTCTACATAGTGCACCTTTAAAGGCTACTTTGCAATTTTACAATTTTAATCTGTGCTGCTTTATAAACTTTTCCAAATATCAGTTTGTATTTGGGTTTAACCCCTGCTCACGGCAGGTAGGCCAGCGGTGTCCAAACTGAGCTAAACAGTAAACTTTTACGATTTTAATACGTGAAAACACTGAACAATGCATCAGACACACAATATTTTATTAAAACAAAAAAATTAATAAATGAAAGATGTGTGAATCTGATCGGCTGTAATAAGGTGAGGAGCTGGGATATCTGGGAGGAGGTCAAAGTAGAGTGGCTGCTCCTCCTGTGTCGACAGGAGAGAGCGACTGCTAATTTCCCTGACATCACAACTGGAGTTATTATTATTATTATTATTTTAAGTAGATCATTACTGAAACCAAAGATTGACAGAAAATGAATGGACTGGCTTTTATTCGTGTTTTTAGAAGCAGTAGAGACCCACGTGGCAGCGCAAAAGGATGCAAGAGGTGAGTTATCCATAGTATGACATCATGTGGTTACTACAGCTCATTTTTTAAATCTAAAGCATCGCTGTCTCACTCCTGTTCTGCGAGTTTCACGGCTGTTGCCAGTTACGGATCAGCACCAGAAAATTCTACATGACAAGCAAAGACGAGTCATGCACCGTAAGTTCATAAATAGATAAGGAGATCGTCATATCTGGTGTTAGCACTCAGGTGTTTTACAGTAGGAAGCACTTACTACACTTATTACTGTAGTATTTCTCCAGTACTGGAGAAAATGTGGCCGCGCTCAGGAAACATTTGGTGGTTTAACCCCCAATCCATCCCCTTAAAGCTGAGTGTCAAGCAGGGAAGCACTGCATCCCTCTTTTCAAGACTTTGGTACAACCCGACCAGGAATCGAACCCCGATCTCCCAGTCCCAGGGCTGGTACCACTAGGCCACTGGGCTGGTTAGCTTGCTGTTTTAGTTCTGAACGACTCATTAAAGGAAGTAAAACACCACGTTTGACTCATTATTCACTTCACACACACATTGTACTGTAACATTTAGTTGTTGGTAGAGTAGACTAATTACTTTTAATTAACAGTTAGCATTGTTAGCTCAACGCTAGCCTGCTTTACCTGATATTAGAGTAAAACAAAAAGATGCTGTTGCTACTTAGTGGTACAAGAAATAACTTCTGGGTCGCTCCTGTACATCCTGCGTCGCTGGAGACAAGGCAACCTCACAAACTCAGAGTGTAAGCATCGACCACATCCTGCTTTTGTTTTTTTTGAAAGGAGGAAAAACTGACACCCCCAGCCGACTCGTTTCCATACAACCTTCCTTCCAACGTGATTGAGACATTTTTGTGTTTTTCACAGTTAAATTCTTACAAATTGCACCTTTGATAAAAGAGAAAAACAATATGGACACTCTTGGACAGATGAACTGTCTCCCTACACTGTGATCCTCTACAGAAAACCAGAGACATCGATTTTAGTGTCTTTAGCATAGCCAACAAAAGTATAGGACTGAGACTCGTACATCGGTAGTGTCAAAATATTCTAGATTTCTGCTGACCAACAGCGGTACTAGCTCTTGTTGCTTGTCCTACCTGCAGCCTCCTCATGGCCTCGGAGTCCTGGTCCGCCTTCACCTTACAGGCCACCAGCAGCTGGGCGGTGGAGGCTGCCACCTGCTTGGCTGAAGAGATGAGCTTCTCTTCACTGGCGTGGCCTTGAACCGAGGCGTTGGCTGCCTCACAGAGGCTGCTGGTCGCTGCTGCCACCATACGCGCCTGCACGAGCGACCAGCGTTAGTTACAGACCTGGACAACGCAAACCGGTGAGTGCAGCACTTACAGCAGAGATGAGCCCCTGAGACCACTGTCCGTCGTCTACGGCATTAGCAGGGATGGAGCCGACTTTCCCCTGAGCCACCAGCTCTCTCTGAGCAGCCGAAGCAGATTTGACCAAAGCGCTGGTGGCTGCGGCGATGGACTTGGCAGCCTCCAGGATCTGATCTTCAAAGTTCAGCGTCTCGTCTGCAAGCTGGAGGGGGGGAGGGGGGGAGAGAGGATCAGTCAGGAGAAACTACCATCAAAACTAAAATGTTTGTTTAAAAGTTTACTTCATTTTATTTCATGGAAATGTGGATTTCTTGTGACTAATAAGAGGAAATTTTTACTCAAATTTCCCACAAAAACAAAAACGACACAAAAAATAAAAAAAGGCTCCACAACCCGATAGAACATTTTTATGAAAGCTGCTGCTGATAAGGAGCTCTATAGTTGATTTCTGCATGTTAGACATCTAAACAAACACACACACACACACACACACACACACACACACACACACACACACACACACACACACACACACACACACACACACACACACACACACACACACACTCACACACACACACACACACACACACACACATCTGTAGACAGAGCGGGACACTGTAGGAATATGTTTGATATATAGTTGGGACTGAATAACAACCTAATATATCAAACATATCAGACAGAGCCCTGCAGAGAGAAAAGGCCTCCGGTGGGGGGGGGGGGGGGGGGGGGGGGGGGCAGGGAGGACGGATGGGGATGGGGGTGGGTGGGTGGGAGCTAGACGCCATATTACAGCTCAGGACACGTTGACTAGCACATGAATAGATGGGGGGGGGGGGGGGGGGGGGGGGGGTTATGCTGGACAGGAATGAGAAAGCCAGACATAAACCGTTGTGGATGTGACTATTTCATGGTGTTAAAGTGAAGAAGCAGGAAAACGTCTAAAGTTGGTCCACGAGGACCAGGACGGGACACCCTAGTTGAAGGAGAAGCAGCAGGTACAATTATGCGTTTTTGGGTTTTTACAAACAATGAGATGGCAAAAAATCTGTCTAGTAAAAACTGATTTCTGGGAATATTTGTATATTTTTAATATCTAAAATATTTTTGTTAGAAATAAACTTTCAAACATCAGAAAAATTTGGCCTGACGCAGTAGTAAACATTAGAAGTGACTCTAAAACACACTGCTAATGCAACAAAAGCGATTCAGAATGAAATCTTCCTAAATCCTATTTTATGAACACAAAGAAATCAGATCGTTCCGTATTCATTAGTGATCGGCCCGTCTGAAACTCAAAAATCTGATTTGTTTTTGGGTCCATAAACACACCACTGTAACCACCCTTTCCCCTGGTCCTTAAATGCACCATTTGCTGCTAATAATAGAATATTGTTAAAGTGGAAACGTTTACTTTCAGAATCATAATTTGAAGGTAAATCTTACATGTACACACATGGGTTCTTTTAGATGAATCGGAATCAGAAACTGGTATTGGCCCCAAAAATCAGAATCGGTGTAGCTCTAGTACTTTAAACGAACGTTGTAATAAACCGTTTTAAGCAGCTGACTTGAGGAGTAAAACCTTTTAGCTGACTTCAGCGAGCTTTTAGGAGAATCAGCTGCTTTCTTCTACAGCCACCCACCTTCGGTTTGGCTCGGGGTTTGAGCTGCTCCAGCTTCTTAGCTGCTGCTTCAATGGACGCCGCCGCCCCGAGCAGCTCCGTCTCTGCAATCACCGTTGGATCCTCGGGGTCCACCCACTCTGAGCCTGAAGCACACGCACGCACGCACGCACACACACACGTATATAAGTACATGCTTAGGACTTGAAGACAGAGTTGCAGAGAGAACATGCAAAAAGACAAACAGCAACGACACACTTCTGCACGTTTCATGCACAGCTGATGGGAGGCTGAAAACAGAGCAATGGATGTGAGACAAGATGTAAACGATAAAGCAAGATGAATGAAGCCAACTCTGCCAAAAAAAAAAGCTTGAGGGTGAATTTATTTGATTAGATTAAATTTCAAAAATCGTGAGACGAACAGCTCAAAACCGATGAATCAAGTCACGCTCAAACAACAACGCTAACTTACCTCCATCTGTGGCGAGAAAAAGAGGACAGGAACATTACTGATGAGTTAAAAACATCCGTTTGGTGTGTGTGTGTGTGTGTGTGTGTGTGTGTGTGTGTGTGTGTGTGTGTGTGTGTGTGTGTGTGTGTGTGTGTGTGTGTGTGTGTGTGTGTGTGTGTGTCTTTACCTTTCATGGCCTCGGCAGTCTGAATGAGCTCTGTGACGGCACCGGCTACACGTTTGGAGCAGGCTGCCAGCTGCTGCTTCTGCTCCGTAGTGGATTTCTGCAGAACCTGAACACACACGCACACACACGCACACACACACACACTCACTAGCTGAACACCAGACTCCATAGTGTGGTTTTGTGTTTAACCCACCAGCAGCACTTGTTCCAGCAGATCGATGTATCCAGATGTGCACTCGGCTCCATACATCAGCGCTCTGTTCTTCACCTCCTCGCTGACCTCTGGGTGGAACGCCGCTTGCTAAAACACGAACAGACTCAGACTCGGGTGCTCGGGTGTAACAACACGCGGCGTACGAATTATTTCGACACCTTGCAGGTGGTGAGCATGTCCGAAACGGCTTTCCGGCTCAGGTTGGCACTTTGGATGATGTCTTCTTGCCGGCCCGAGTTTCCTGCAGCTACTGCTTTAGCGGTTGCCATGGTGATGCCCTTGGTCATGCGTATGAACTCCTCAGGTGTGGTGGTCTTGTGTGGAGCATCCCTGGATTGGAACAGCTGACAGGTAGTGCAGATATTAAATTCAGCAACAGAATCCACGGCTTTTACCCGAACGGTCATGGTCGCTCATCCTCACCGCCAGTTCCTGTTTAATACACTCGATCGTGGCCTCCAGAGCTCTGGTGCCGCGTGTGGCCTCGTCCTCCACCGCCTTGACTGTCTTCAGCAGGGATGTCACGTTGGTCACCATCACCTGGCAGACAGATGAAGCGGCGACAGCAAATGAGTCAGAATTACCGAGGCAAGCAGACAGGGTTGTGTTTTTATGGCTCACCCAGTAAAATTATATATTCTGTGATAATATGGATAAAAATCACACAGGCCCTCGGAGACGATCCCTGTCCTAAAACATGTTTAAATATTGTCTACGATATGCTTAAAAGAGTTTAGCTGTTTGTGAGGGAAACAAACCGAAAGCATCTGGCAGGTTGTTTGTTTACCTTTGACAGATATTGTTGGGGTTTCACGCAAAAGAGTTAGATCAGCGTTTCCTTGTTTTTTACATTTTTTAGCTTTCTGAGCCACAAATTACAGACCAAACAAAATGTTAGCAAGGTAAAGAGAAACCTTTCCTGTGTTTTAAAAATATATCTTTAAAATTTTTCGCGTTTTTAGCTTTTTCAGCGAAAAATTTCCCATTGAAATGAATGGGATTGGTCAATTTTCAGCAAATTCCTATCACTTTTTTGACCTCAAACTCTATTGGGTTCCTTTTAACTTAGAGACTTCATTCAAAGTTTAACAAACTCACAAGACTTTCCTGTTTAACATGTTAAAGAGGCTTTTTGATAACTTTTACGGTTTTTCTAAAATCGCAGGTAGAAGTTGAGGTACGACTTGAAATTTTCAGCAACAACCAGGATCTCGGCAGTTTAATCCAGCTGTCAAACATCTGATGCTGTAATACTTCATACTGACTGATGGGGGCGCACACACAGCATTAATGAAGGAAATCACAGCTCATCTCATCTTTAAAATGAGCTTGTCAGGTGATTTTCTCCTCACTCTGGAACATAAAACGGCTTTAGTTTTCACCGTCTCCATCTCCAGACGCCCGGCGCCGTTACCCATTTCTTCACAGCTCAGAGTGATAATGAGCAGCCGTTGGTGATTTATGAGCTGTGGCTCTGATGCCGCTGAAGCACAGCAGTCAGGTGTTTCATCTCTAAATAACGCCGTTTCTGTTCTCAACACTAAAACTGTTACCGAGGTTTTACAGCGTCAGGAGCGGCTCTGGCTGAGGGAGAGGAGGAAGTCTGCTGAATGTGGAAGGGTTTAAAGACAGGTCCCTCACCTTGGCGGCGCTCTTTAGCTGGTACATAGATGGGTCATCTGCAGCTTTGCCAGCAGCACACTTGGTGGCGCTGATGAGCTCAGCCAGCGCCTTGGCCACATCTTTAACAGCATTAATCAGAACCACCTGCACACCAGCAGAGACGCCGACGTGTAACCAAACAGACTGGAAGCAGAGATGAAACGCGGAAATGGACTAAAGCGTCTGACCTGCGTTTCAGGGTCGTCGGAGCCAATGCCGGCGGCGCCCATCTTCACCACATCGGTGAGCTGAGTGATGGTTTTGGCCGAAGACTGAGCAGCATGAGCCAACCTCTCGTGACCGGAGGCGGCGCCGGACACCAGCATCTTTGTGTCCTCCACGAGGGCTTTGGCCGTCTTCAGAATGTTTTCCCTGAGAAAAAAAAGAAGATTAAAGATAAATCTCGGCACTTATGATGCACAGATGTCCTTTTCTGGGCATTAACAGTACGACTCAAGGCATTCTGGGTAAACTGTGGCCTTTGGTGGCAGAGACTTCCTCTCTGTTCAGTAGCTAATCTGTCAGGGATGAAAGGTCAGGGCGGGTCAGATTTTAGATTCCAGTCTCTGACCTGTGGTCGGCAAAGGACTCGTCATTCTCTGCGTTGAGCGTTCCTGCAGAGGCAAACATGATGGTGGTGTCCAGGTCGGCGATGATGCCTGACACGGCGCTGGCGGCGGTGATGCAGGCTTGGGCTCCCTTATTGCTCGTCTGGAGGGCTGAAAGCACCAAGGACACCTGAGGATGCAAACACACAGCATGCCGAACACGTTTAAATATAAATACAGTTACAAAAATAACCTGATGCTTCGTCTCACACCGACGTAGGTGAGAAAAACTGACAAGTCACTTTTGTGGCGATTTTCAAAGGAGGAATAACGCGATATGGCAGGATTCAGTTTGAACAGAGGATACCTTCTCCGTGACCGTACGAGCACACTCGATGAGCTCTCTCTTGCTGAAGCCGTCAGACGGGCAGATCTGCAGAGCTCCGGCCTTTTGGACCAGGAAGATGCAGCCGTGGCCGAGGTCCTGCACCCGATTCTTGATCTGGAATCCAATCTGCAAAAACACGGAAACAGGAGTTTACCAAAAGTGATGGTGAAAGTTTTAAAATGTTCTAAATGGTTCCTGCGGATCTGCTGTCCACCCAGCTGGATGGGCGGAGAGGAGCCGGTCCACGAGTGTCCACCTCACCTCCTCCGGCTCGGCTGTGTGAGCAGCCAGCCGCCCCTGAACCGCCAGCTGGCCGTACTCCACGGTCACCTGAGAGGCCAGGGCTCCCAGCTCATCCGGACCCGTCACTGATTTGGTCATCTGACGGATAAACACACGGTTTAAACAAAACCACATTGTGTGTGTGTGTGTGTCTGTCATTTTCAAGCAGCAAAAATACATTTTCCCTCATTTTACTTGCATAAATTCACAGTTACAGGCTGATCTTACAAGTGGGAATGTTAACTTCTGGAATCAAAATATTTAATTCAATCAAATTGAACTCAAAATAAAGAAATGTAGTTTTTCACAGCCACCCACACTGGAGGCACACAACGGCAGTGGAATGTCGCTGCTTCTAATAAAATCTATTATAATCTAGAAGATTAATCCAGACCAGCTTGCTGCGCTACGCCACGCCACTAAAGAAAGGATCAGGTTCTATATTTGCCATGAGCCACTTCTGGGATGTGTCAATTTCCGCAATTAACATGAGGATAGACAGGAAACCACACACGGTTTCATTGTAAAATGTCTGGTAATTTTCAAAATAAAAGACTATTGCAGAGATGCAATATTTTATCTATGCAGATTACGTCAATATCTGTGACCTAATGGCTTATTTACTCCCAGCATTTGTGTTTTTCATGGCTTTAATCATGGCAGTGGAGAGGCATAGCATTATATGTGACATCAAACAGCGATATGAAATGTGATTTCCTTCTTCTTTTGGCTTTATCGGGGATGGCATAAACAAACTGTGACCTTTTAAAATTTTGAGGAATTTTATGATCTTGCAATTCCAGCAAGGAGGATGGCTCCACAGCCGAGACTCACCCGCTGTGGATTGACGTACGACAAAGCACGCGAGGAAACCATTCCACTGCCATTCCGCTCCGCAGATTTTTAAAAATGTATTAATTTTTTTAAAAGGCCCAGACATCCCTCTCTCCAGCTACTTGGGCCAGCAGCCCCGGGGAAATCCCAAGGTGTTCCCTGGTCAGCTGAGAGACATAGTCTCTCCAACATGTCCTGGGTCTTCCCGTGGGTCTCCTCCCAGTTGGACATGCCCAGAAAACCTCACCAGTGAGGCGTCCAGGAGGCACCCTACCTAGATGCCAGAGCCACCTCAACTGGCTCCTCTTGATGTGGAGGAGCAGCGGCTGTACTCCGAGTCCCTCCTGGATGACCGAGCTTCTCACCCTAGACAACCTGCAGAGAAAACTTATTTTGGCCGCTTGTATCCACGATCTCGTTCTGTCGGTCACTACCCAAAGCTCATGACCATAGGTGAGGGTAGGAACGTAGCGAGAGCTTCTCCTTCTGGCTCAGCTCTCTCTTCCCCACGACAGACCGGTAATGATAAAGATAAATGATCCGCACTTGTATAGCGCCTCTCAGAGTAAGGACTCCAAAGCGCTTTACACTACAGTGTATCATTCATCCATTCACACACACATTCATACACTGATGGTGATGAGCTACGATGTAGCCACAGCTGCCCTGGGGCGCACTGACAGAGGCGAGGCTGCCGAGCACAGGCGCCACCGGTCCCTCCGACCACCACCAGCAGGCAAGGTGGATTAAGTGTCTTGCCCAAGGACACAACAGCAGAATTCTCTGTCCGGAGCCGGGATCGAACCTGCAACCTTCCGATTACTGGACAACCCGCTCAACCTGCTGAGCTACTGCTGCCCCAACAGCGGTACAACGCCCGCATCACTGCAGACACAGCACCAATCCAATCCACATGTGGATCTCACGCTCCAGTTTTCCATCACTCGTGAACAAGACCCCGAGATACTTAAACTCCTCGACTTGGTGCCGGACCTGCTTCCTGACTCGGAACCATGGTCTCAGATTTAGAGGAGCTGCTTCACACTCGGCTGTGAACCGCTCCAGCGAAAGCTGGAGATCCCGTTCTGATGAAGCCAACAGGACCACATCATCTGCAAAAAGCAGAGACCCGATCCTTTGGCCTTTTTGAAACCAAATGGATGGACCTTTATTTAGATTTGGAAAGTTTACAGAGGCAGCAAAGACCCACTTGGCAGCATGAAACGACGCAAATGTTGAGTTTTCCTTAAATGTTAAAAATATTAAGTTGTTTGAGATAAATCAGAGTCGGTGTTGGCAGGTCGGAACTGTGCAGAAATCAGGAACCATATCGGCCCTCCAGAACAGAACCAGTGCATTTTCAGAAAGTATCCCCTTACCATTTCCTGAGCTGTGACAGCAATGGCCTTTGAGTGTTTCACCATGTTGGTCTGGTACTCCACGAAGGAGCCCGCCGGCTCGGGCGGCGTTCCCTCATCCAGCTACAGGAACACAAACACAGTTAAAACGGCGCCACAGCAGGTTACGCATTTAAACTCCAATTCAGCTGCAGCTACATAATAGTGGTGATAAGTAGTGGCGCAGTTTTACATTCATACAAACAGTCGGGGGAAGGGGGGGGGGGGGGGGGCACTCAGAAACCAGCAACCAAATTCTGTTTTAATTACAGCTTTTAAACTTTTTAAACACTCAAAACGAGATGATTTGAAGAAGACAACATGGTGGGGAATTCAATGAACGCATTCAATTTTGAGTGTGGGATGTTGGCCCCTCCCACTGAAAGAATTAGCTGTCGATCTGAAGCTCGGAGTTCATGAGAGGAAGCTCTAAATCACTTCTGCTCAAACCACAGGGGAGAGGGACCATTACGCCGATTGATTATAGGAGAGGATTGTGTCCTTTTAATCAGCTGCACAGAGCAACACACACACACACACACACACACACACACACACACACACACACACACACACCTGAATGGTGAAAACGCAGAGCTAAAGAAACAATTTTCAGCACATATCTGACTGAAAAGCCGCCGCTGCCTCTGCTGAAGCCACACGTCGGAGGAGGTTTGTCACCTTAGCGATGCTTCAAGCTCAGGAGGTGAGGAGGATGTAATTAGCTGATGCTATTCTCCATCTGTGCAGGAGATGAAATGGGTTTATCTTTCCTCGCTGTCATACGTGTTGGAATGGAGAGATCGTCCAATCGGGGATAAGGAGGCCATTGATGGTAAAACGCAGGTCGAAAAGGACAAAAAAATAAGAAACTTTAAATTAAAAATAAAAACGTCCCCTTTCCTCGTGAATCTGGCTTTCTACACGACAATTTTACTAATATTACTTTTAGCAGACAGAAAACCGAATTAATTATTTGGTCTCGTCATCAGAATCACATATTACATTTTTTTTTATCCATAATCTGTCAATCCAAAATGAAATGGACCAATCTCGGATGATTCTTAAAGAGTAAATAGAAACTCCTCTGGCCCTACTCATGGATGAACAAAGTCAAATCCTCACGGAAAAAGTCGTTTTCATGGTTCTTAATTCTATAAAACTAAAGAACGACTCTGGAACTCATAAAACAGGCACACTGGGATTAGGAAAAAGGAATAATGTAAGAATTAAGGTAATGAGATGTGGCTGATGGTTAAAAAATTTATTCACAAGGGAGTCTCAAAAATGTCTCAAAATGTTCGCAAGGAATTTGCAAAACTTCCATTTGAACTTTTTTTAAATACGCAGTTCAAGAGTTCTCCTAATCTGGAACCCGCCTCCAAGTTTTCCGGATTGCTTTTCAATCCACTTTCTGCCACTGAGAATTTTGAGACGTAGGGGACGAGTCGTCTCACGCACGAGACACACTTCAGACATGTTGTGACTAATTTGCAACAAGAAAGCTGCACAACTGTCACAGAAAAAAGTTCAACTAATAAATATCTAATAGTTAATAGATCTTTAACACTTTATTATGCCTTCAGTAAGGATGAGAAAAAGGTTAACCTGAACAGTTTCTTGCACAACAGTGAGACAAACATATTTAATCTAGAGTTGCTGTTCTATAGGAGACATGTTATGTTACAATCTGATCTGTGGTCAATAAAAACACGATAATGAAGTTCTTTGCATCAAGTCCCTCTAATGGGCTCGACACACGGGAGGCGACAAACGACCGCGATCAGCGAAATTTGTCGCTGTCACTTTTATTACCTGACACACGGGAGGCGATCCGCGGCAGCGGCCAGCGGCAAAGCCGTCTACGCGTTCTGTTCCATGGCGAAATCGAAACTTCCGTTGTTTTGCTTGGCTGTGTCAGGTTGGAGGTAATTAAGGTTATTTAAGCGGTTCAGAGTTAATAAAGTGGTAGATGTGATGTTTCACAAGGTGCTGCTAGAGTTATGTGAAATCTTACTTCTGATTTTACTATAAAACATAATAATAATCAACTTCTCCTCCATGTTTGCTCGGAGGTGTACGGAGCATCCTGTCCGCTCATTGGTCAGTGAATGAAACCTCCGTTGATTGGTCCTCGTCCGAGCGACAGCGATGAAAAGTTGAAAATGTTTCAACTTTCTGCGATCGCGTCGCTGGGTCGCCTGTGCACGACACGTGCACAAAATTTCACACGCACGTTTTTCGCGTTTCGCTTGGTAGGAGGGAGACCCGCGATTATCGCATTGTCGCGCATGTCTCATTGAAAATGAATGGAGGAGAGGCGATGTCGCCTCCCGTGTGTCGAGCCCATTACTGCGATTTCAGCAGTTTTATTCCCGTTTCAGAGCTCTGTCACTTTAAGAAAACAAGCTGTTGCTGGCCACGCCCCCCCCCCCCCCCCCCCCCCCCTGACTGGCTACTATGAGGAGAGGAGCTCTATTATCAGGGAGGGGCTTGGAGTATAATCGCTTCTCCTTCAGCTGCAGCAGCCGCTCTAGCTTTGGCATGAAAGGTGGTCCTACTCTATTTTCACTGTTTGTGACATCACAAACGGGGGATTTTTTAAACTGCTTGTGTACAGCACATAATTACTAAAACAAACACTAACAGAAAAGGATAGACAGACATTTTTCACATTTAGAAAGAAGCAGTAGAGTGTCCCACATGAGTTTTCCATAATATGTCCCCTTTAAAGTTTTCAGGCTAAACACTCAGAGCATTTGTAAAAATAACATTTGAGCACATGATTTTGTACTTTCTCACTACATTTTAAATATCCACAACTATAAAGGGGAGCCTTATTGTAAAATGTGACCAAATATTTGTATATTTTGTGTCTGTAACAGCTGCAGCCCGGTTAGAGCCCGGCTCAGGGCCGCAGCAGAAACGGGTCCAATTCAACTCAAGAGTTTACATTTGTTTGGTGCCTCAGAACCAACCTTGGCCATGGCCTCGGCGATGGACTCCACCATTCCTCCCACCATCCCCACCTCACTGGCGGCCTCATTCAGCGTCACCATGATGTCATCAACCGCCTCCTTCATGAGCTGAGCTGCCTCCGCTATGGCATCATGGGTGTGTGACGCCTGAGGGTGAAACAGCACAAGCGGTTACACATCCTCCCTGCAGCGCGGCTTTGAGTGAAGAGTTGAACTCCAGCGGGAACGTCGCGCTTGCCTTTGGGTTTCCTCCGCCCTCCTTGGCAGCGTAGAGCATCTGCAGGGCAGACTCAGCCAGCGTCTTCGTCTGGTCCAGGAAAGTCATCTGCTGCTGGTGGTCTTTGAGCTTGGAGGCGACCCCAACAGACGCCTTGACCAAAGGCTCAAAGTAGCCAGCCAGCTGGGTCACCTGAGGTGGCAGAAGGGTCTGTAAACAGGTTTCATTCATGTTCTGGAACAGCGAAGTGGCCTTCTTTTATTTTAAATTGGCCCAATTTTCTCTAAATGTCAAATTAAAAAGATAAAAGGAAGCAGATGTCCCTTAATGCCAACGGGATTTTTTTTGTTGACAGCAAACAAAAACAAACTGCTCAGAGCTAACTTAGTTTATTTTTCCACTTCACCTTTTTAAAGGAAATCCTTACTTTGTCGCTCCGTGGCGGGCTGGACCCACATACCTTGTGTCCTAGTTGGGAAGCTTCACCTCTGGCTGCCGTGGAAACCGGGTCAATTAGGTGTCCAATTTCCTGCACGCTGGACGTCAGCTGCTCCTGCAGAGCCTGAAGATGGGAAGTGGTGCACTGACATGAGGCAGCTGGAAACAACATAAAAGCTCATGCAGATGCTCCAAGATGCACTAAATAAAAACAAATCCCATTTGGATCCAATAGCTGTTTGCACGCAAGAACAAATTAAATCTGATTTCAAGAAAAGATGCAGAAAAAAACAAGGAAAAAATATCAAAGAGCAACCTGCTGTCATGGCGGGGATCGTGTGAGCGACAGAAAAACCGTCTCACCTCCAGCGAGATGTCGTCCCTGCTGGTTAGGTTCTGGCTCACGACATCCAGAGAGGCCTGCTCAATGTCCCGGATACTCCTGTTGATGTTATCTATGGACGAGTCGCACTCCCGCTGGCCAGGAGCCTTGTCCCTGGAAACCAAACGGGATCAGAATCCAGAAATAAACCAAAGACTTTGGTCTTTTTGGGATTTCTCCTCTCGGAGTGGACATGCACCCTCCCGGCTAAATGAGCTCTGAAGCCTCCGAGCTGTCCGTGGCTGCAGCCTGGTGACCAGAGCAGAATGCTAAACACCAGTTTTCATGCAAAGGGAAGCAGAAGCTCATCGTATCGCTTAATGAGACCACAGAAGTTATGTGGCTGAGTTTTTCAGGATGGAGCTCACAGGCGTTTAAACTCTGGCACCTGAGCGGACGACTGCATCCCATTAAAGGCCCGGGCTCGAGTCCCAGTGGTGAGTGTTGGGTCTGAGATAAGAGCATCAGGACCGAGGGTGAATGCTAATGTGCAGATGTGCCGAGACAGGCGGGGCCTTATCATTCAGTCATTTGGCGCTAAGGACATGTCCCTCATGGGGACGAGGACAAAATGTCCAGCTAGTTGTTACTGACCGGATCGCTGTGATGAGACTCTTGATGGAGTCGGAGACAGTCCGGGAGTGGCCGGCTAGAACGGACCACGTTGGCGGGTCTTTGGGGTTGATGGCCAATGAGCGCGCAGTTTTGAGCAGGTGGGTGGAGCTGTCGAGCATGGATCGTGCTGATTGGAGGATGGGCTCCTGAGCTGCAGAGCCCTAAAGAAACAAAATAAACATTCTCTCATTTTTGCAGCCAGATCTGCCATTTCCTGTCATTTATGTATTCATTTAAACGTGAAGACGTGAATGTTCATCAGGCCGAACCTCGCTGCTGATTTGAGCCGGGACGCTGGCGAACTCGGGGTTAGAAGCAAACGCCGTCAGGTTCTCCACAGCTTCGATGAGCGGTCCTGTGGCGACTCGACACCTGCTTCTGTTGTCCTCTGAGAAATCCCCGTCTAAAGCCTGCAGAGCCACAGAGACGGAATCAGGCTGGATGACTAACACTCACCTGTGGAAGCTGGAGGACGGACAGGAACCCCACCTTGATGGTTTTCACCAGGTTTGCCGTGGTGTTCGCCACCTCCTTGGCCGACTGGACAAAGTGCCTTTTAGCAACCGGGTTAGTGGTTTTGGATGAAGCCAGTCGACAGGCGTTGCAGAGTGCTGAGGTGTGCTTAGCAACGATTGTGGCTGCAGAGAGAACCTACGAGAAACATGAGCCATGACTGACATAAGAAGTTCTGATATGGGATAAATCATGCTCCTACACAGGTTTCTACTTCCTGTTAACCCTTTATAGGGCCAACATCCATATTTAGACACTTCCACTAGCATCATCAATGATGTCGGTGTGCCTTTTCACAGACTCTTAGATTTCACCCAAACAATCATCAGAGATCAAGCTAGTCACGGTTAGCACCCCGGCGCCATTCCACCAATCAGCAGAAAGCTGCCGGGTCTCCTCTCGTGTTTACGGTCAGATCTCTAAAACTAACAATGCTAAGTTCCTGAAACTCTCACATCACAAGGTTGGCTAGTTGTGCTAAATAAGAATACATGTGTTGTCATTGTTAAGCTCAATAAAGTTGGTGAAATCTTAGCATGAAAATCAAATCTGCCATGTTTGAACAAACGACCTGAACAAGTCAAGTCAATTACGAATATTTTAGGTAAAATCTGTTGTTTTTTAAACACAATCATAATATTCAAGGTAACCATAATAATAACAATTATGATATTTAATATGTTTTGCAGTTTTAAAGGGACTTTACGGAGTTTTGAATTTTTATGCTTGTGATTGCCCCCTCAGGCCAAAAGCTACGGCAGCTTCAATAGTAGGCTCGTGCACGAGGCGCGCATGCTGTAAGTGCACACACCTTAATGAAAATAACAGCTGAGACAGTCCCTTATGCGTGTGTGTGTGTGTGTGTGTGTGTGGCCCAGAGGACAGAGGACAAGAGAACGAGCAGCTAATTAATTAAATAATGTGGTTCTGTACCTTTCTCTTCAGCACAGCCGACAAAGGTTTATGATGGGTCAGTCCTCCTGCATGCTCAGATCATTCCCTTCCCTTGCTTGAAAAATTGTTCCAAAATGAAAGTTGAACCCACATCTTTTTTATCTGTGAATTCAATGCCGTTCGGCAAGTCTCAAATAAAAATTTGGGCATCTTACTGTAAAAAAAAAAAACCCATTAATGTAAAAAAAAAAAAAACTCTAAAAAAAACTATGTTCACATCCAGAATCGAACACAGGTCTCCTGCATGGGAGTCAGATGTCTTACTAGGTGAGCTACACTCTAGTAACATTCATAACTTTTATATCCTTGATGAGAGCTGAAACAACGTCAAACCAAAGAACGGTTCGGAGCAAAAATGGCTATTTTGTTGCTAATTTGCAGGAAATATCTAGAAGAAAGTTCTACAGAAAGTAGCTAAGGGTCCTCAGAAATGTAGCTAGCTTTGTCACTAGGCGTTAGGAACAGTGACAAAGTGGCACTGCCTCTCTCTCTGCTGCTAAAGCTACGGATAGCAAATGCTACGGGCGATGCGTGAACGCGCATGAAGCAGCCTGCTCGACCCGAGCATCTCTCTTTTTCTGTAATTTTACAGAAAAACAGGCAATCACAGTAAAAATTCCAGGGCTCATTCTACAGGACCAGGGCATTGCAGGAGAATGTATGAAGAAGAAATTTATTATTTCTATACATGTTTTGGCTGTCAAACTTCCATAATGTCCCTTTAAACTAAGATTTCTCTGTAAATTGGAGGACAGTTAATCAGTGATGATGATGAACAAGAGGAAGATGATGATGAGGCAGATCCTCAAATATAAAATATTCTAAAATATTCTAGTATTCTATAAGTGATCAGAAATAATATCTATTGTTTAATAACTTTTCAAAAATACTCCACAATAATCAGTTTTTATAAAAATATATTTAATGAGTGTGATATATTCTGTATTTTTGAACAGTGACGTAATGTTCTAAAATGATCTAGATTATTCTAAAATGTCTTAAAATTATCGATAATATTCAAAAATATTATTTAACTTGTGTGTTTTTATTTTGGGATTTCTTCTACCAGAACAGGGCCAACGTCCATGTTTGATCACTTCGTTTTCTCTGAGTTTCTGCATGAAAACACATATTTTAGAAAACTGTAACAGCAGAAACACACTTTGGTTCTGGACCACGACACCACCCTGGGGTTAAAATTTAAAAATTGAAAACACTTCAATGAGTGCCCTATAAAGGGTTAAAACGGGAAGTAAGAACAGAAAAGGAAAATTAAAAGCAGAAAAAATCTGGAAACTGCAAAATAAACCAAATATCTAATTATTTGATAAATAGAGCAACAAGCATTTCCGACACGGCTCCGGAAACGAGAATAAGAGTTCTGATGAATCCAAGAGAAGATCTCCCAACCCAGCCGACAGCGACGTTTAGATTAGTGATCTTAGAATAAACTCAAGCCCTTTTCATGATTGTCCTCCGCCTATTTAGGCACACATCAATGTGATCATCTTACTTCCTTGTCCCGTAAAGTCGGGCGTACACTGTGCGACGTTTTCACTTTTTTGAGCCGATTTTCCACTCGTGCGAGAATCCACGAGATCGGGGCGAGTTTTGCGCTGAGCGTCGTGTAGTGTACAGGGGGTTACGAGAGGCGATTAACACCACGTGACCAGCTACCGATCAGCAATCATGAGCTCGCACGGACTTCTGGCGTGTTTGATATTTTGCTCGTCCCTCGTGAGGGTATCGCACTGTTGAAGCGGCGCAGCGAGCAGCTGCGACCCAAAAAGTATCAGAACCGCTCACGGCGCATGCGCAATCCTGCATCAACACCGCTCGCCTGCTATTTCTCTAATAACACACGTTGTTCGTTTTTATTTCTACATGTTTTTTTACCATCCCATAGTTTATTTATATAGCACATTTAAAACGCTGCACAGGCTAAAACAAAACGCGACCATTCTAAGGAAATAAAACAGAGGATAAAAATACCAGTCAAAGCAGATAAAACACGAGGAATACTAAGAACACAATAAAACACTAAAACGAGTCACTGTCTAAAAGCCAAATCGTAAAAGTGGGTCTTTAAACGAGATTTATAAACCGCCAGAGATGGAGCCTGCCGAACTCCAATGGTCAACGAGTTCCACAGCGTTGGGGAAGCATGCACAAATGCTCGTTCACCCCGCGATTTGTATCGCATCCGTGGCGTACACAGCAGCAAAAGGTCAGCCGACCTCAACGTGCACGTGGGTACACATGGAGTGAGCAGGTCAGAGAGATAGGGAGGTGCCAGGTCATTGAGTGCTTTAAATACAAAAGTCAATAACTTAAACTGTACTCTATACAGGTGCTGGCCAGTAAATTAGAATATCATCAAAAGGTTGAAAATATTTCAGTAATTCCATTCAAAACGTGAAACTTGTACATTATATTCATGCAATGCACACAGACCAATGTATTTCCAATGTTTATTACATTTAAATTTGATATTCATAAGTGACAACTAATGAAAACTCCAAATTTGGTATCTCAAAAAATTAGAATATTCTGAAAAGGCTGAATATAGAAGACACCTGCTGCCACTCTAATCAGCTGATTTACTCAAAACACCTGCAAAGGCCTTTAAAAGGTCCCTCAGTCTTGTTTTGAAGGCACCACAATCATGGGGAAGACTTCTGACTTAACAGCTGTCCAAAAGACAATCATTGACACCTTGCACAAGGAGGGCAAGGCACAAAAGGTGATTGCTAAAGAAGCTGGCTGTTCGCAGAGCTCTGTGTCCAAGCACATTAACAGACAGGCGAAGGGACGGAAAAAATGTGGTAGAAAAAAGTGTACAAGCTCTAGGGATAACCGCACCCTGCAGAGAATTGTGACGACAAACCCATTCAAAAATGTGGGGGAGATCCACAAAGAGTGGACTGCAGCTGGAGTCAGCGCTTCAAGAACCACCACGAGGAGACTCATGAAAGACATGGGATTCAGGTGTCGCATTCCGTGTGTCAAGCCACTCTTGAACATGAAACAGCGCAAGAAGCGTCTCGCCTGGGCCAAGGACAAAAAGGACTGGACTGATGCTGAGTGGTCCAAAGTTATGTTTTCTGATGAAAGCAAGTTCTGCATTTCCTTTGGAAATCAAGGACCCAGAGTCTGGAGGAAGAGCGGAGAAGCACAGAATCCACGTTGCATGAGGTCCAGTGTAAAGTTTCCACCGTCAGTGATGGTGTGGGGTGCCATGTCATCTGCCGGTGTTGGCCCACTCTGTTTCCTGAGGTCCAGGGTCAATGCAGCCGTCTACCAGGAAGTTTTAGAGCACTTCATGCTTCCTGCTGCTGACCAACTTTATGGGGATGCAGACTTCACCTTTCAACAGGACTTGGCACCTGCACACAGTGCCAAAACCACCAGCACCTGGTTCAAGGACCATGGTATCCCTGTCCTTGATTGGCCAGCAAACTCGCCTGACCTTAACCCCATAGAAAATCTATGGGGTATTGTGAAGCGGAGGATGCAATACGCTAGACCCAACAATGCAGAGGAGCTGAAGACGACTATCAGAGCAACCTGGGCTCTCATAACACCTGAGCAGTGCCACAGACTGATCGAGTCCATGCCACGCCGCATTACTGCAGTTATTGAGGCAAAAGGAGCCCCGACTAAGTATTGAGTGCTATACATGCACATTCTTTTCATGTTCATTCTTTTCAGTTGGCCAACATTAGAGAAACAAACATTTTTTCATTGGCCTTTAGAATATTCTAATTTTCTGAGATACCAGATTTGATGTTTTCATTGGTTGTCACCTATAAATATCAAAATTAAACGTAATAAACATCGGAAATACATTGGTCTGTGTGCATTGCATGAATATAATGTACAAGTTTCACGTTTTGAATGGAATTACTGAAATATTTTCAACCTTTTGATGATATTCTAATTTACTGGCCAGCACCTGTAAATGACAGGGAGCCAGTGAAGATGTGCCAGGACAGGGGTAATATGGCTACGTCAATGTGTATTCGTCAAGAACCTGGCAGCAGCGTTCTGGACGACCTGCAGCCGATTCAGGACAGAGACCGGAACACCAACGAGGAGGGCGTTTGCGTAGTCAAGGCGAGAGGTAACGAAGGCATGGATGACGGACACCAAATGCCTCAGTTTCAGGATTCGTCTGAGGCGAGTCAGGCGGCAAAGCTGATAAAAGCAAGACCCCACTACGGAGTTCATCTGTGGGGCCATTGTGAGTTCAGCATCCAGCCTTACCCCGAGACTTGTCACACACTGTTTGGGGTTGAGGGTTAAAAGGTCACAAACAGGGTGAGAGCCATGGTGGTTGCGGGGGTCAAAAACAATAAACTCAGACTCACAAAGATTGTCAAGAAAGCGTGTTTGTCGTGTTCATGTCAAATTAAACTGATCACAAAACACAGATTTACTTTCTTTATTTGGTTTTCCTCCTCCAACCCACATAAATCCCTGTGTGTAACCCCTGCAGCACTCCCGAAGGACAACAGGCAAGACAAAAAACTCTGACGTGTTGTGTAAAAACTGCTATTTTTAGCACATTTTTAGGTCCGACGTGTAGCTACCAGACGTAGTGTGAGCACATGACTCGTGAGATCTGCCCTGCGAGGAAGTCGTACAGTTTGAGCTGAAGCTGAGTGCTACGAGTGGAAAAGTCGCACAGCGTCCGCCCGGCTGAAGTATAAATATTATTGAACCAAAACTGATTTTAAGAACTTCGGAAATCCTTCATTGAAAAATATCTACATTTTGAAAACACAATAAAATCCAAGAATTAAAAAAATCAGCTAAAATATAAATTCTCGACTCTCAGATTTGCCCAACCCAAACATCCATCTCTCGGAGAACCGGGTGCTGGCGTACCTGGGAGGGGCTGCTCTGTGGGTCCACCAGATTCTGACAGGCCATCTGGATGGCCTGGTTGGCTTTGGCAAACTGGATGGGATCCACCAGCCCCTGGTGTCCCGCCTGACTGTTGGGATCAGACACGCCCACCAGGTAGGAAGCCTGAGGAGACGTCACACATCAAACACACCCAACAGTAAAGGCAGCAGGGACGTTTCTGCAGCTGCCACACCACGTACCTGTCCTGCAGCTTCCGTTAGACCACACAGGGCTTTGGAGGCCGAGCCCACGCTGTCTCCAAACGCAGACACATCTCCGGTTTTACAGTTCTGAGAAATGCCGGCCATGGATTCTCCCAGGATCTGGACGGAGAGGCAAAGACAGGTCAGGAGTTCTTGGTCCTCTGATGTTTTAGCTGTTGGATATGAAGGTCTACCTTAGAGTTCTCCATCACGCTCTCAATGCAGTCGAAGTAGGAGAGGTCACTGACCGGCTCGCTGGGGTTGTCCAGCATTTTTCCGACAGCCTGAAATACAAAAAAAAAAAAAAACTGTTTTACAGAAGATTCTGCTAATTTTATTAATAATGCTTTCAAGTTAGCAGCGGACCAGGGAACAACTAGACTGTGTCTACTGAGAAGAGGCCGCAGCAGAAGACTATAGACTCAGACGTCTGACAAATGTTCACTGAGTGTTCTCGTCTGATCAGACGATGAAATGCTTGTTTACCTCCAGCTCTCTCAGGGCGTTGTCGCACTCCTTCTGGCCAGGAGCCTGCTGAGTACACAGAGTGATCAGCTGGTTGATGCTGTCTGTCACGGCTCTGAAACAGAGAGATGAACTAGAATAAAACACATTTCATGTGTGAGAACACACTAATTAACACATTATCGGTCATTTCTGACATCGAGACAGTCAGACGAAGCAGGAACAGAGGCTGAGTGGCGCTAGCGTGTACCTTGCGGCAGCAGCCAGCAGGTTTTTGGCATTTGCCGCCGCCGGGTCCACAGACAGGCTTTTAGCAGCCAGCAGCAGCTTACTGGAAGCCATGGAGATGTTCTTCAGGTTCCCGATCACCTGCATCTGGTCGTCCTTTTTCTGAAATCGCCACAGCGACAGACATGAACATGTGTCCCTCTAAACCCGGCGTCATGATGCTAGAGCAGACAGGAAGTGGAGGCGACCTGCGTGTGTCCGGCCATCTCTATACCAGCGTCCAGGAACTCGTCAAAGTCTTGGCTGAATTTCCCAGAAGCGTTGGCGAGCTGGCCGCTGGAGCCTCTGGAGGCGTGGACCACCTCACCTGCTGACTGGTTCAGACCAGCTGCGCTGTGTGTCAGCTCATTCTGGGCCTCCTGAAACGTTTTGGAGGCTGGAGGAATCTGAACAGAACACGCAGAAGAAGATCAAACAAACGATGCACAAGAAGGAAACCTAGGAGTGGGACTCCATTAAAAAATGCGTGTAATTAATCAGATGCTTTGTGATTAATTAACCGATTAATCATTCAAAACGATTTTTAAGTACAAAAAAATGTCAGTGAGGCACAGATGACAGAAGGGGTACATTTTTATATTTTCTGATTAATTAATCCTAATTAACGCAGTAAATTCCCACCCCTAGAAAAAAACGTTACAGCGGTAATTAAAAGACTCATGGTGACTCACCGTGTCAACCAGAAGCTTCTTGCTGGCCTCTCCGATGCTCCTCAGAGCCATGTCCACGTCCTTCTGACCGGGCAGACAGTTGACGCAGTTGTTCAGGGAGTGAGACACGGCTTTGGCCACCTGGAACACACAGCAGGGTCACGGCACGCGGGTTTACCGGTGACCTGATTCAGCTTAGAGGGAATCAGCATGCAGCGCTCACAACCGAGGTGCTTCAGCACGACGCACAAGAGGCAAACAAATCTGAATAATAATCCAGATTTTCTCTGCTGTGACATTTGATGGTTTGCAGGCTTCATGGACCCTCTCACCTGTGCCAGCCTCTGCTGGCTCTCGGCGTCTCCGGGGGAAATCAGCGCCTGCTTGGCTTCGTGGATGAGCAGCGCCGAGCCCTCCATGACGTCACGGGCTGACTCCAGCATTCCGGCTGCGGCCTTGGGGTCCGTAGTGGACGCAGCAACGCCTCGTGACGCCTGAGCCAACGTTTTCAGGGCCTGAGCCGTCTCCCTGGCAGCAATTCCTACAAACAAGGATCACACAGAAACAATAAGTTCACCAGGGAATCCTGTACCTTACCGGGCTTTAACCACAGAATATTAGATTTTACACACTTAAATGATGAATGCAGGAGAGTTAAAGTACCCACCGGTGTAGTGCTCATTCCCTTGAGCGGCGCACGTTAGCAGCTGAGCCATGGAGGATCCCACAGACTTAGAAGTGCTGCCCAGATCCTGAGCACACTTCTCCAACTAAAGCAGAGAACAAACACAAGCCTATTCTACTTACTCCAATTCTATTTTAAAGGGACTTTACGGACTTTTGAATTTTTATGCTCATGATTGCCCCCTCAGGCCAAAAGTGTAACGGCAGCTTCAATAGGAGGCTCGTGCACGAGGCGCGCATGCTGTACGTGCACACTCCTTAACGAAAATAACAGCTGAGACAGTCCCGTGTGTGTGTGTGTGTGTGTGTGTGTGGCCCGGAGGACAAAGGACAGGAGAACACGCAGCTAATTAATTAAATAATTTGGTTCTGTACCTTTCTCTTCAGCACAGCCGACAAAGGTTTATGATGGGTCAGTCCTCCTGCATGCTCAGATCATTCCCTTCCCTTGCTTGAAAAATTGTTCCAAAATGAAAGTTGAACCCACATCTTTTTTTATCTGTGAATTTAATGCCGTTCAGCGAGTCTCAAATAAAAATTTGGGCATCTTACTGTAAAAAAATATACCATTAATGTAAAAAATAAAACTATCCAGAATCGAACCCAGGTCTTCAGCACGAGAGTCCAACGTCTTACCAGATGAGCTAAAGCGCCAGTGATGTCTTTTGTATCTGTAACATTTATATCCTTGATGACAGCTGAAACAACGTCAAACCAAAGAACGGTTCGGAGCGAAAATGGCTATTTTGTTGCTAATTTGCAGGAAATATCTAGAAGAAAGTTCTACAGAAAGTAGCTAAGGGTCCTCAGAAATGTAGCTAGCTTTGTCACTAGGCGATAGGAACAGCGACAAAGTGGCACTGCCTCTCTCTCTGCTGCTAAAGCTACGGATAGCAAATGCTTCGGGCGATGCCTGAGCGTGAACGCGCATGAAGCAGCCTGCTCGACCCGAGCATCTCTCTTTTTCTGTGATTTTACAGAAAAACAGGCAATCACAGTAAAAATGCCAGGGTTCATTCTACAGGACCAGGGCATTGCAGGAGAATGTATGAAGAAGACATTTATTATTTCTATACATGTTTTGGCTGTCAAACGTCCATAATGTCCCTTTAAGTGTCCGTCTGAGGGAATGAGCTCGTTTCTTACGGTTTCTCCAGGTAAAGGTTTCAGCTGCCCGTTCGCAGCAGCCAGCTTTGCATCCTGCAGCTCGCTCCTCAGGGTCTGGATGGCCATGAGCACCGAGTCGATCTCCATGGGGCCGCAAGCTTCATGAGCCTGAAGAATAAGAGTCGACACCCGTGTTTGTTTCATTTTTATTCCGCGTTACGATTATTGCTGACAGCATCATGCGTGTGCGCTCTACCTTCTGTGCAGACGTCCTCAGCTCAGCCAGGCAGGTGGCCAGGTTTTTGGCACACTCCCCCAGCTGCATGGCTGCAGCCTGATCCGTCACCGTGGGAACGGATGACTTGGCAGAGGTCACCATCTTACTGCCAGGCTGTCGTGAACAAAAATTAATATTCAATGCAAAATAATTATTAAAAAAAAGCTCAGAACAACAATTATTTTAAGGTTTTGGTGTTTTAGATCTTCAACAGAGAAATGAAAATCATCAACGTTCCGTTATGAAAGTCCGCTTCAACCAGAAACAGGTTACGGTTCTACTTAAACGGATCCCAGACGACACCGACTCTATTTTTACACCCAGCCTGGTTCCTAATGCAGGTCTCCTCAGTGAGACTTTGAGAGCGTGAAGTTTTAACAAGTTTCTGTCAAACCAGAGTAAAAAGGAAACACCTGCAGGAAGTTCTGGCCGGCGATGATGAGGGCCAGTTGAGCGCCGAGGTCCTCCGGTTTGGCCTGACTGCCTCGGACTCCTTGTACGAGCTGCGGGATGTGATCCGCTACAGCCTACACACACACACACACACACACACACACACACACACACACACACACACACACACACACACACACACACATACGCGCGCGTTACCAAAACGATGCCTGAAACAGAAATCTCCTCTTCTCTGGAGTCAGCTCACCTTACAGCTCTGCACCAGCTGCTGGTGAGCTGCGGTGTTCTTGTTGGAGGCGGCGGCATTTTGAGCAGCAGCGATGGTCTGAGTGGCCGCAGCCGCCGCTTGCTTGGCGGCGTTCTGAGGCGGACAAACAGGGGGAAAAAATTAAATCAACATATAGAATCATTAAACTGTGGCTAATCTCAAGTGTGAGTTCTGAATTTTCACACCTGAGTTGAGTGTAAAGAGCTAAAAGTACCGTTTAGTTTACAAGCACATGGTGGTCCCGGTTTATATGAAGGAACACGAATTTTAATGTTTTTTTTGTTTGTTTACTAGACTGTAAACTAGCGGTAGAAGTAAATAAAACATAACCAACAGCTGTGACCTTCGTTTGGATAAAAGTGATTGGCAGTCTCCTCTCGTGTTTACGGTCAGATCTCTAAAACTAACAATGCTAAGTTTCTGAAACTCTCACATCACAAGGTTGACTAGTTGTGCTAAATAAGAATACATGTGTTGTCGTTGTTAAACTCAATAAAGTTGGTGAAATCTTTGCATGAATATCAAATCTGCCATGTTTGAACAAACGCCCTGAACAAGTCAAATCAATTATGAATATTTTAGGTAAAATCTGTTGTTTTTTTAAACACAATCATAATATTCATGGTAACAGTAATAATAACAATTATGATACTGATTATGTTTTGGAGTTTAAAACTAAGATTTCTCTTGGAAATGGAGGACAGTTAATCAGTGATGATGATGAACAAGAGGAAGATGATGATGATGAGGCAGATCCTCAAATATAAAATATTCTAAAATATTCTAGTATTCTATATGTGATCATAAATAATATCTATTGTTCAATAACTGTTCAAAAATAATCCACAATAATCAGTTTTTATAGAAATATATTTAATAACTGTGATATATTCCGTATTTTTGAACAGTGACATAATGTTCTAAAATGATCTAGATCATTCTAAAGTGTCTTATAATTATCGATAATATTCAAAAATATGATTTAACTTGTTTGTGTGTTTTTATTTTGGGATTTCTTCTACCAGAACAGAGCCAACGTCCATGTTTGATCACTTCGTTTTCACTGAGTTTCCAGCTTTAACAAGACATTTCAGTTATTTTCCTTATTTATTAAATGTAATTTTACTTTGTCACTTTTGAACTTTTTTCAATGTTTTTTTTTTTACTTTTTCTTCCTCCATATCCTTCCAGTTCAGACAGATGATCAAACACGAAGCATCGACAAAACTAAAATATAAACTTTGAGATGAAAATTAGAATTATATAAGTTTTTATTTAATCTCACTAGTTTGGTTTTGCAGATACCCCCCCTCACCCCCCCCCCCCCCCCGAAATGTAGATTTATTGATCCTTCTAGATAAATCAAAGCGCTAAAGGTGCTGCAGCTCTGCTGACCTCCAGCCTGTTGATGAGCTTCTTCTTGATGGCGTTCTGAGCTGCAGCGTTGGTGGCCACACGCAGACCTTCAGCAGCCTCCCTCAGCTTCTGCTGCTGGTCCTCGTTTTCTGGGTACGCTGCTGCACCCTGAGGGCACACGGACACCAACATGGGCTTGTGCATGAAGAGTGGCGACACCGAGCCGGTTCCAGAGAGAAAAAAAGCAACTAAACTGCAGCTCTTCTTGCAGACAATCGCTTCTTTGTCGATGCTTAAATGTCACGAGCCTGTTCATATCAACAAGCAGCTCTGTTCCCTCTTTTCTCCATGGTCATGTATTCCGCAGACCTGCAGCTTTTAAGTTGGCGAATGGGGAGAATCACCCGCGACAATGCAGAGAAGGCTCGATTAGTGGGGTAGTTTTTAACTCCAACACCAACAGAGATCACAAAAGCATTTATCAAAGTCAGAAATCGGGTTAAAGTCGGCGAAGTTTAGTCGTTTTTTTAATCTATGGTTTCCCGACAGCCTGCAAAAGTTGGTCCCGTTTTCCCGCGACAAAGCAAATCGTAACCCGACACGAGTTTAAAAAGCCAGAACAGACCATTAATAAACAGTACGAATCTAATCCACTGGTTGCCAAGGCAACGGCTGGCTGAGGTCTCGGCCCCCATTAACACAGATAAATATACCGCTGCGATGGTGATAAGTCTGGCATCGAAACCCGCTAACCAGCCGGGGGGCATAACTTCATTTTCCTGGTGAAAGAGGAGCGTTATTAATATCCGCCCGCCGCTCCGTCTGCAGATAATGAGGCTGATGTGGAGCCGCTGCAGACGGAGGTTTGGGTGGAGCCCCGTTTGCCCCTCAGCATTCGTAGAAGAAAAGGTTTGATGTTCTCTTCCTCGTTAATCCTGCCGCACTGGAAAGTTTAGCTGTGAAAAGGAACGGGTTGGAGGTGAAACAGAGAACGAGCTGAGCTGAAAATGTATTTAGATCTGAGCAGAGTAACGATTCACAAGTTAAAGGCCTCCGCCTGCCGTTGAAACGCTAATTCATTCAATTGCCTTGTTTATTAAAGTGTTTCCCTCCGTCCACTAGTCAGTCTTATTTCCATGTTTCAGCGCCACGCCTCAACCCGTGCGTGGAGCGTCGTTTGAAAGGTCACTTTAGAGGTCAGCCTGAAAGGAAACCTTCCACCGGTCAGAAGAGCGTAACCTGCCACAAGGCCGGATGCCGTTTGAACAGAAACGCAGTCTCACCTTCGCCGCTTCCACCATCCTCGCCGTGGCGTCTGCCAGCAGTTTGGCAGCTGCCAGCAACTTCTTGGAGTTGTCCACGTCCACCTCGGCTTCGGCGTCGGACCTCATGGCGTTGACCAGGTCTGAGGTGGCCTGAGCCAAGACCCGAGCCTGCCGGACCATCTCTCCTGGGGGGGGGGAACAACATTAACCACTTTATTTATTTATAAAATGAGTTTGATTAGAGGTAATTTTACCAGAGAACAAGTAAAGAAAATGTGCTTTAATGGAAATGAACGAACGAACGAACTGCAGATCCCAGGTAAGTTTTTGCAGGATGGACCTTAGCTGTGGACGATGGCAGCAACGACTTTCCAGAAACATCCATTTTTATACAAGTTCCCTTTAATAGTTTTAATTTGAAACATGAAACTACTAAAGGATTTACTCTGCGTTTACTCTTCTCCATGTGAACTAACCTGACGTTTGACACCAGTAAACTCAGACTTTTGTCTTTATTTCTTTAGAACAAACGTCCTTGCCATTCGTCCAACAGGACAATCGATTATCCCGAGCCGACCTCCTTTGAGCGTCTCTTTCTGTTCTGACGGACCTGTTAATCTGGCTGTCAGCTTTTCGCTCTGCTAATCCCAGAAGCTGACAGCTGACACCTCAACCCGCCGGGCCTGTCTGATGGAACATGATGCACACGGACCCACCAAAAACAACAAAAATACAGAAAACTCTATAAGCTTTAGTTATTAAAAATGACTGGAAGTTTGGGAATGCTTGACAATTTTCATTGATTAATGATGAACTTTCACAAATGGTAAATGGTAAAATGGCCTGTATTTGATATAGCGCCTTCTAGAGTCCTGGAACCCCCCAAGGCGCTTAACAACACAATCAGCCATTCACACGCTGGTGGGGATGAGCTACGATGTAGCCACAGCTGCCCTGGGGCGCACTGACAGAGGCGAGGCTGCCGAGCACTGGCGCCACCGGTCCCTCCGACCACCACCAGCAGGCAACGTGGGTTAAGTGTCTTGCCCAAGGACACGACAACAGCGACAGACTGAGCGGGGCTCGAACCTGCAACCTTCCGATTACAGGGCGAGCACTAAACTCCTGTGCCACCGTCGCCTCACAAGTGAAATTAAGTGTTATGACTTGCGGGCCTTTATGTGGCCCATCGAGGCAGAAAACCTCATACACCTTACTGATTGGGCTAATGTAGGACACCTGAGGACCTGGAGTATTTAAATGAAGCAGAAGTCGAACCTCTCTCTCGGCTCTAACGCTAACCCGCAGGTCTGCTGCCACGTCTGTGTTCTGTTTGCACCTTCTAGTTTTATCCTTTGATTATTTTAGGTTAATAATTTATATTTTATTAACTTTGTCTTGTTGCATTTTAACTTTTGATGGCCAAATGGTAATTCACGCCCATAACAATAGTCATACTCCTAGACTATGATCCCGGACGAGCCCCCATGATATATGAGATACACTGTTATCCTCTACTATTTCTAAATCTATTTGATCAAATAAAGAAATTAATTCCTAGTTAAAACAAGACTCCCCTGGACTCACCTGCATCTCCCATTGAGGTGAAGATGCTCTCTGTGACGGTCATGATGGTGTCCGTCGCCTGGTCGTAACGTCCAATCGGCTCTCCCCTGGAGGTGTACTGGCAGACGTGTTGCAGGAGATCTTCCAGAGCTTGACTCACCACGCTGGCTGCGGAGCTCACCTTCAGCCAATCCAGACACAGATCATCACAGTGAAACGTTTGGTCCTACGTCGTCTCCGGGAGGAGATGATTGCTGATCTGAACAAAGCCAACCTGTTTGAGGAGCTCGCCGTCCTCTGTGGCCGAGAGGCAGGCCTGCACGCAGCTCTCCACCGAGCGATCCACCAGCTTCCCCGCTTCGATTAACTGCTTCTGACAAACCGGGGAGCTGATGGTTGGACTCACCACCTGCAGCAGGTGAAAAGAAACGGCGTGAGACCGATTTTTAACACTGGGACACACTTTTTTTTTAAATCATCAGATTTATTTCAAACAAAACTGAGGAATTAAAATATGACTTGAGATATGCAGAGAGCTAAATATTCAGGTGTTCTTAGTTTTTCATCTTTTCTTGTGTTTAAGAAAGAAAGGAAAACCAGTTATTAAACAAAAGTCTCCTAAGTGAGGGCTAGGAGCTTATTTCAGCTGAGTAGACATGGTTGTTGGTTGAACGTTAAGTAGCGGTGCTAAAAGCCAGATGCTTTTTGTATATTTTAAGCCTGAATTTGATTGGAAAACACCGGCTAGACTCTTCCAAGACACATCCAGTGGTGTTGCATGATCTCGTTGTTCCTTCAGAATGAAGGCAGTAAAAACCGCTGCCACCTAGCTGTCAGAGCTTGAAATGCACCACACAAAAGAAAATGTTTGTGTAAACCAAGAAAATCAAAGCGCTGCGTTTAAAAATCTATTCAGTGTCATAACATGATATATTGTAATATTTCAGAGCAACAATATTTTCTGAGTATCATAGGTTTAGGTGGTATCAGAGTACTTTAACGAGTACACAAACCTAGTATCGGAGTGCTCCCCGATGCTGGTATTACTTTTATAATCCCTGATTATAAGTGCTAACATTACATTGACCTTGTCTGCTGTGTTTATTTCATGCATGTTGCATGAATACTGACATAATAACATAACTGTTTCATTTTAACATCGGAATATGAAACAAAGTCGTACCTTTGCACACGCCACCAGCTGGGAGGTGGACAGGGCACACTGTGTGGCGGCAGCGATGACCCGGTTCTGCAGGACTGTGTCCTCTGAAACCTGGGCTACGTTCTTGGCCTTCAGCACCAACATGGCGGCTGCATTGGCGACCGCTTTGGCCAAGTTCATCAAGATATCCTTGCAGTGAGAGAGGACAGGAGAACATCTGACGTCAGCAGAAATATATGTTTACGATTGAGTGGTGGAAAATACTACGCTGACACTTTTTGCACCATTGGCTCCCTTAAATATCCACCTTGATCTCTAACTTTAGCAGCAGGAAAGGGTGGAAATGATATGAGATGCACCTGTGAACAGAATAATCAGATAAAGTCAGAGATGAAGAGCTGTTACCTGGAACCTCTCGTCCGTCTCATTCTCTCCGATCTGTCGGAGGAGGTCTCCACTGGCCTGGCCGATGCTGCCGGCCGCCGTCAGAACCGTCTGTCTCGGCTGCAAACACAAACCATCAGGATCTGAGATGGCATTTAAACCTTGCATCAGTTTTAGGATTACTCAAAGGGACTTTACGGACTTTTGAATTTTTATGCTCGTGATTGCCCCCTCAGGCCAAAAGCGTAACGGCAGCTTCAATAGTAGGCTCGTGCACGAGGCGCGCATGCTGTACGTGCACACTCCTTAACGAAAATAACAGCTGAGACAGTCCCTTGTGTGTGTGTGTGTGTGTGTGTGTGTGTGTGTGTGTGTGTGTGTGTGTGTGTGTGTGTGTGTGGCCCGGAGGACAGAGGACAGGAGAACACGCAGCTAATTAATTAAATAATTTGGTTCTGTACCTTTCTCTTCAGCACAGCCGACAAAGGTTTAAGATGGGTCAGTCCTCCTGCATGCTCAGATCATTCCCTTCCCTTGCTTGAAAAAGTGTTCCAAAATGAAAGTTGAACCCACATCTATTTTATCTGTGAATTCAATGCCGTTCGGTGAGTCTCAAATAAAAATTGGGCATCTTACTGTAAAAAAATATACCATTAATGTAAAAAACAAACTCTAAATGAACTATGTTCACATCCAGAATCAACCCCAGGTCTTCTGTATGGGAGTCAGACATCTTACAAGGTGAGCTACACTCTAGTAACATTCACAGTATCTGTAACTGTTTTGTTGCTAATTTGCAGGAAATATCTAGAAGAAAGTTCTACAGAAAGTAGCTAAGGGTCCTCAGAAATGTAGCTAGCTTTGTCACTAGGCGTTAGGAACAGCGACAAAGTGGCACTGCCTCTCTCTCTGCTGCTAAAGCTACAGATAGCAAATGCTACGGGCGATGCCTGAGCGTGAACGCGCATGAAGCAGCCTGCTCGACCCGAGCATCTCTCTTTTTCTGTGATTTTACAGAAAAACAGGCAATCACAGTAAACATGCCAGGGCTCATTCTACAGGACCAGGGCATTGCAGGAGAATGTATGAAGAAGACATTTATTATTTCTATACATGTTTTGGCTGTCAAACTTCCATAATGTCCCTTTAAAGGCATTCATGAACCAGAATACAAACCAGGATCGTCATTCGTTTAGAAACCGAGATCCAGTCCAAGTGCCTTGAAATTAATGTTGAGGGCAATCTTGTGTTTTATTACAACCCCTCTTATGAGCTGTTAGCACTCAGAGAATGGGCTGCGAATGACTCTTGGCTACTAAAACATCCAATTTTACGTCAATATCTGTGAAACTGTCAATTAAACCCTTTGCAAAGGCAGATCTGCTGCTGCAGCCATAATGAACTGAACAATCTGGGTAAGTAGAATCTTAAAGACCTCAAATTGAAAATAAAGACTTTAAACAACCTGCAGAGAAGCTTCAGTGCATTTTGTTCTGAATCAGTTATTCACATCTGAACAGTCGCGGTCTAATGAAACCAAAAGTCTGGGCGCATTCAAACATAAACAACTGTTTTCTCCAGCGTTCACAAAGCAGCTCCTTTAAGATGGAGGACAGTTAGCCTGAGAGCCAGGCCCATAATCCAGTTACGTGGAGTCAAGCGGGGGACGCTAACGTAATCAGGTTGAGTTTAGGACCCGGAGACAAACAGAAGTTCTGAGAGAAGACGAGTTGTCTCGAGATGCAGCTGCTCTGAGATTCATGTAATTAGCCGTTTCTGTTGGCTGGAGAGGAGCGAGGCCTCGCTATTAGCAAACGTTTCCAGTCTTATTTTGAGGCGTCTTCGCCCACCTGTCCAGACGCCGGCTCCACGGCCTTCAGAAGGTCCGACACGGCGTCCGTAAGAGTCCTGGCAGCCTTCATCAGGTCATTCCCTCCTCCCACGTCATCCTCCATCAGCGCCGCCAGCAGCTTCACACCCTTCGACATTTCCGTCAGGTTGGAGGAAATGGTGGTGATGGCGCATCCCACAGCGGTGTAGTTTGTGTCGGCGGGGTCACCTGGGAGGAAGGTGGTGGAGGGGGGACAGGAGGGATAAACAGGAAGGAATTCTCTCAGGGAACTTTTTGATTTCTAAGGAAGCAGCGGTGTGGAGGAGACCACATCCTCCAACCCACTAGTTCAAACAACGATAATGCGTTTGTAAAAGTCTGTAATCTTTTAACTGCCTTCATTTATGGAGCCTAAAATCACTAGTTTTTTTAATTTTATATACATTATTTTATCATTTAAACTGGATGCTGATTTAAATCCCGGAAGGAGAAACAGAATGAAGAGTAATCCCTAAGTAAACGGATACCTCATGACCAGAAAAGGTTTATATTTTTGAAACTGAGCGACATGAAAGACCAATGTCGACTCCTGGAAACGTTCACGTCTCCATCAAGGGCGTAGGAACTGGGGGGAGGGGCGGGTGGGACGTGTCCCCCCCATATTAACCCTCTGGGGTCCATGCATTAGAAAATACAAAAGAAAAACCAAAATGAGTCAAAAACGGTGATTTACACCCTGGACCCCAGAGGACAAATAATTTTTTTTATTTGTTATTTGCTATATTTATTCATAGTTTTTATAAATGCACAGTCTAGAGTACCATTCTAAATTATAAAAAACATTCATCATAAATGTTTGTTGGTTTCACAGTAAAATAAACAACCTTTTTCCAATTCGGATTTGATGTTTTTGAGTGATTTAAGGTCTAATATGCAACCCCTTTATGTCCAAATATAAAAAATAAGTATACATTCATAAAGTCCAGGTTGTGCTGAAAAGATTGATGCCACATAAGGCAGTGGTTATGGCTTTTATTTTGGAAATACAAAGGAAAACTCTAAATTAGTCAAAAACGGCAAATTACAACCTGGACCCCAGAGGGTTAAACTCGGTCCTATGCCCTTGGTCTCCGTAACGTTTGATGAAGAGAAAAATACCCTCCACTTCACATTTAGTACAGATTTCACTGCGAGGTTAGAAAAACAATTAGTTCTACAGAGAAAAGGGACATTATGATTTTAATTGAGTATAAGTCAAAGTAAAAATAGTTTTTTTGCTAAATGCAATATTGTTTTAATGACAGAAAAGGCAAAAGGAGCCTCCACTGACCGGCTGTGAGGTTCACGACGGAGGCTGTTCCTGCAGTGATGGCGTCCACCTGAGAGTGGATCCCTTGTTTGGATTCGTCCTTCTTGCTCTGGATCCACCCCTTCGACGCCTAAACAGGAAACACAAAACGAAACAAGCGTAGATTTATTTAGCGCTCTTGGTCGAGGCTACATCTTGTGCAGCTCCTGAGGACCACAGTCGGGTTACCTTGTCTTGTCCAAACGGCGGGAGGGTGTCGACCTCTTCCAGGTCTATCTTAGCCTTTTGTACGGCGTGCATACTGGTGTTGATGGTTCCTATCAGAGCCTGCTGTGCTGAACTCTACACAACAAAACACTTTTAAACATTATTTATTCCTATGAAGTCTCACCCTGAACCAGCTTCCTTACCAGTGGAGGCATGTGTCCAAAGTGCATCTGGTCTCTTGTGACTTGCTGCTGAGGAGAAGGGATGGTACCCATGCTAACGGGCTCGGCGCCAATCGAGCCCGAGCGGATCACCCCCGGCAGCGCCACGGATTCGGCCTCGACCCGGCCCCCGTGGTTAAACTGCTGCTGGAGGATGGTGGATCTGTGTGAGGGAAGCAGAAGAACAATTCCTACACAGAAGTGTTTCAAGGAGAAATTAAGACCTTTCATATATTTGTTCTGCGGTCGAGACAAAAACATGTTCAAGTTGAGGATGATGTTCACTAAAGGGGCATTATGGAAGTGTGACAGCCAAAACATGTATAGAAATAATAAATGTCTTCTTCATACATTCTCCTGCAATGCCCTGGTCCTGTAGAATGAGCCCTGGCATTTTTACTGTGATTGCCTGTTTTTCTGTAAAATCACAGAAAAAGAGAGATGCTCAGGTCGAGCAGGCTGCTTCATGCGCGTTCACGCTCAGGCATCGCCCGTAGCATTTGCTATCCGTAGCTTTAGCAGCAGAGAGAGAGAGGCAGTGCCACTTTGTCGCTGTTCCTAACGCCTAGTGAAAAAGCTAGCTACATTTCTGAGGACCCTTAGCTACTTTCTGTAGAACTTTCTTCTAGACATTTCCTGCAAATTAGCAACAAAATAGCCATTTTCACTCCGAACCGTTCTTTGAACGTTGTTTCAGGTGTCATCAAGGATATAAATGTTACAGATACTAAAGACGTCACTGGCGCTTTAGCTCACCTTGTAAGATGCCGGACTCTTTTGTGTGTGTGTGTGTGTGGGGGGGGGGGGGGGGGGGGGGGGGGGGGACACAGAGGACAGGAGAACGCAAAGCTAATTAATTAAATAATTTGGTTCTGTACCTTTCTCTTCAGCACAGCCGACAAAGGTTTAAGATGGGTCAGTCCTCCTGCATGCTCAGATCATTCCCTTCCCTTGCTTGAAAAATTGTTCAAAAATGAAAGTTGAACCCACATCTTTTTATCTGTGAATTCAATGCCGTTCGGCGAGTCTCAAATAAAAATTTGGGCATCTTACTGTAAAAAAATATACCATTAATGTAAAAAATAAACTCTAAATGAACTATGTTCACATCCAGAATCGAACCCAGGTCTTCTGCATGGGAGTCAGACAAGGTGAGCTACACTCTAGTAACGTTCACAGTATCTGTAACTTTTATATCCTTGATGACAGCTGAAACAACGTCAAACCAAAGAACGGTTCGGAGCGAAAATGGCTATTTTGTTGCTAATTTGCAGGAAATATCTAGAAGAAAGTTCTACAGAAAGTAGCTAAGGGTCCTCAGAAATGTAGCTAGCTTTGTCACTAGGCGTTAGGAACAGCGACAAAGTGGCACTGCCTCTCTCTCTGCTGCTAAAGCTACGGATAGCAAATGCTACGGGCGATGCCTGAGCGTGAACGCGCATGAAGCAGCCTGCTCGACCCGAGCATCTCTCTTTTTCTGTGATTTTACAGAAAAACAGGCAATCACAGTAAAAATGCCAGGGCTCATTCTACAGGACCAGGGCATTGCAGGAGAATGTATGAAGAAGATATTTAATATTTCTATTAGGGATGCACCGATCAGGTTTTTTGCTGCCGATCACCGATACCGATATCAAAGAATGCTGATCACCATTACCGATACCGATCACGTGGATTGGCCAGAAATTTTCTACAACATTATAATGAGTGCTACAAACTACATAATCTGGGAATAAAGGAAATGTAACCTAATCTAAACTGGTCTGTATTTGGGTTGTCATGTGTGAAAATTTAACCTCACGGTTATTGTGACCAAAATTACCACGGTTTTCGGTATTATCGCAGTATTTCTTTTACGTGCTACATTTTCACACAGTTAAATAAACCCTGTATGTCAGGAAATATTGTCCTCAGTTTGTGTCTAAATTTTGCCTAAAATGTGTTATTTTGTAATTATGTTGTTTATTTGTTTACATTTTTCCCCTTTAGTCTTTAAGATACCAATATTTGCCCATAACTTCTTATTTTATGTCTGTTTGATGTCATCATTTTAAAAATATTAGATCAGATGACACTCAGTACTCAAGTAGCCTTCTAATCAGATACTTTTTTACCCTTACTTGAGTAATAAACCCTATATCAGGAAAATATTGTCCTCGGTTTGTGTTCTTCCAGTGAGCTTTGCAGATGTGGGAAAATGTCATCAGGCAGTAATCATTGTTAAATTCATAATTATTCTCGGAGAGAGACCAACTCTTATCTGCCCCTCGGAGCTCCGTAATGCATAGCGTCATTTCGACATGGGGGTGTCCGCGACACGGTTTATATGCAGGTAGCGGTGCTGTGGCTGCTTTATATAGCCACTCGTTGCGTTCTCCCTCAACCCAAATCCTCGGATCACGCATTTTAGCTAAAACGCTAACGTTAGCTTGCCTTGCATTGACTGTAGAGTTGTGGGTGATGGTCATGCAGATGTGTCATGAGATTTGAAGCGTTGCTGCCTTTCACAGACACTTTTTCTGCACGTTCTGCAAACAGGTTAGCCGTCTTCTATAAACTGTCCCTCGGCATTCTTCAAATATCCAAAACATGCCCGTACTTCCGACTTTGTCTTCTTTGAGGGATAAAAAATGTCCGCCTGAGCGCTGCCGTCTCCTCCTTTGGCCATTATTTCAGCTTTAGCTTCAAGAAAGTTTTGGTTGTAAACAACAAAGAGCGCATGTGCCGCCGGCAACTTCAGATGATACGGTGGCTGGTGAGGGTCACCGCGCCTACACTGCAGCCACGGTAAACCCACCGAGATAATATAGTTTTTTTCAAAACAAGACGGTTATTATTATTGTCAACTTTTTTTTACCGGGGCTTACCGCTACACCGGTTACCGTGACAACCCTACCTGATCGGTCTGCTTTGATCTATTTTGAAAACTCCGATCAAAACCGATAGGGGCGCTATCGGCCAATTGGGATCAAATGCCGATCCATCGGTGCATCCCTAATTTGTATACATGTTTTGGCTGTCAAACTTCCATAAAGCCCCTTTAAGAAAAATAATTTAATTCATTTTATATACTATATACCTGACTCTGTCTGAATTAATACGAAGTGTGTTTATGGTCCCTGAATAAGTAAAAGTTACTGGAATCTTCTGATTAAGTATTCAAAGATCAATCAGGTTGGTATTTCATATTTATATAGAATCATCATATCTGTAGCATCCAGAAATGGTCAGTTTTTCATCTACAGTTTGACCTCTTAAGTATCCGTCATATGGAGACATAAGTCTACACCTGCTATTCTATCAGCTGAAGTCCAGCCCTCTGCAGCTTTGAACACAAGATAACATATTGTCAACAAAACTGTTCCCGTTTCAAGGCCTATCGCTTCTACAGGAGTCCTCCTTTCTCTGAATTAAAGTTAACATTTTCAGCTCAAATGAGTTAATTAATCATATAATGAATGAACAATATGGTTAAATGAAATATTTTGATTAATCTGTGCCTAAGTCAATAAGGTTGAAATGAATATTGTCCTGCAATGATCCATTTGTCTGATAATCAGTCTACGTGACGAGCTAATCAGCCACACACTCGTACACAAGGTTAAAGTAATTTCACGACACAAAGGGATTTTCTTATCCACAAATCAGAGAACCTATCTGAAATAAGGCGTGATGTTCTCTCTTAACACGGCACGTCCCGATTGGCCATGGAATCAAAATATGGCAATTGTTAAAACAGAATCACTTGCCGAGTGAGACAGTTAGTAACTCCGGACTGGCCACCGGAGGAAAACCCTCTAACCACCGCATCCCTTGACAAGCTGTCAAACCTGATACGCGCCACAGCCGACACAGCCAAGACTCCTTCAGAGTCCATCTTTCCATAGACGCAAACAACTACCTGATGTGATCCGGGGGACGACTCTGGACCGACCTGGTCGTACTGCGGTTTTTTTCTATGAACTTCGATACCTTGGGGTCACCCGACCCCCCGGCATCTCGTATCCGAAAGAGAGTCTCCTCAGGGGTACGTAGAACACAGCAAGACTGCGTCTGATGCCGTTTTATAAACCATCACTTATAGTTTAATGCAGACCAAATTCAGTCCCACTCAGAACTCAGTTTCTTCTAGATCCAAGGTCCTGATAAACATCACACACCATTCCGTCATCATCCATCACATTCGTCTTATTTATAACTTGTCTCGTTTTTAATTTGTTTAGAAAATAAATTTCTTACTTTTTATAAACCTGACTGTCTGAATTAATACGAAGGGTGTTTGATCACTGCAATAATTCTTCTGATTAAACATTCAAAGATCAATCAGGTTGATATACTATATTTATATAGAGTATCACATCTTATTGGTCATAAGAAATGGGAATATATTAAGCTTAAAACAAGCAACATATTATACCCTCTTACACATCTTATATGTCGTTTTCAATAAGTATAAGAGTATTATCACACTGCAGAGGGTTCTATTCTAATCTCCCTGCTAGTGACATCACAAACAGCTTGCTTTGGGCACATAATCCCTGAAACCAAACATAGACAGAAAACAGACGGACGGGTTGGTTCTCGTCGAGCGTTGACAGAGTTAAGGAGGGGTTTCCAGCATGAACCAGCTCAGTGGCCTAGTAGTAGAGTGTCCGCCTGAGACTGGGAGATTGTGGGTTCAAATCCAGTCAGGACATATCAAAGACCTTCAACACAGGGACCCAGTGCCCCCCCTGCCTTAACACTCAGCATTAAGGGGTTAAACCACCAAATGGCTCCCGAGTGCGGCTGTGTCTTCAGGATAATGGAGATGTTTATTTAGTGGCCTAAGGATCGAGTCTCCGCTCTTCACTGGCGCCGCTTTCTAAATGAAGACGCTAATCACAATTTAATCCATGATTTTACAAAAAGATGAATTATTATTCAAACTGCCTCCTGTCATTTAGCAGATGATTTTTTTGTCTAATACTGAAAATTATTCGCTGATCTGAAACATTTAGGTGTGACAAAAAAAGCCAAAGAGGAAGAAATCTGCTATAATACTTCAAGGCAATGTTTTAGATTTCCACAACGTCAAGTGAAAAATAAAGAGAGGAGGATTCTTCCTCTTAGCTCAGAATCAGAAATGAAACAAAACCTGAAGACATCAGTTAGGAGCTGGAACATTTCTGATGGCAGCACAGACTCTTCCCACCTTCAGCAGGTTTGTTTTTTTTTTGGCCGCAGATAAGGCCTCGAGGAGTTCAGCTTTTTCTCCTTTGCAGTAATAAAGTGCTTTTCCTCTGGCACAAGCACAGATAAATGAATAAATACGTACGTACCTACCTACCTACGTACGTACGTACCTACCTACGTACCTACATATGTACCTACATACCTACGTACGTACCTACATACCTACGTACATACATAAATAAATAAATATGTACGTACCTACCTACCTACGTACGTACCTACCTACGTACCTACGTACGTACCTACATACCTACATGAATAAATAAATATGTACGTACCTATTTACCTACAGTACGTACGTACGTACCTACCTACCTACCTAACTACCTACCTACGTACGTACGTACCTACCTACCTACCTACCTACCTACCTACCTACCTACCTACGTACCTACCTACCTACGTACCTACCTACCTACCTACGTACGTACGTACCTACCTACCTACGTACGTGCGTACCTACCTACCTACGTACGTGCGTACCTACCTACCTGCGTACGTACCTACCTACCTACCTACCTACGTACGTACATACCTACCTATCTTCCTACGTACGTACGTACGTACCTACCTACCTACGTACGTACGTACGTACCTACCTACCTACCTACGTACGTACGTACCTACCTACCTACGTACGTACGTACGTACCTACCTACCTACGTACGTACGTACGTACCTACCTAATTACCTACGTACGTACGTACCTACCTACCTACGTACGTACCTACCTACCTACCTACCTACGTACGTACATACCTACCTATCTTCCTACGTACGTACGTACGTACCTAACTACTTACCTACGTACGTACCTACCTACCTACGTACGTACCTACCTACCTACGTACGTACCTACCTACCTACCTACCTACGTACGTACATACCTACCTATCTTCCTACGTACGTACGTACGTACCTACCTACCTACGTACGTACGTACGTACCTACCTACCTACGTACGTACGTACCTACCTACCTACGTACGTACCTACCTACCTACCTACCTACGTACGTACATTCCTACCTATCTTCCTACGTACGTACGTACGTACCTACCTACTTATCTACGTACGTACCTACCTACCTACGTACGTACCTACCTACCTACGTACGTACCTACCTACCTACCTACCTACGTACGTACATACCTACCTATCTTCCTACGTACGTACGTACGTACCTACCTACCTATGTACGTACGTACCTACCTACCTACCTACGTACGTACGTACGTACCTACCTACCTACGTACGTACGTACCTACCTACCTACCTACCTACGTACGTACGTACCTACCTACCTACCTACCTACGTACGTACGTACCTACCTACTTACCTACGTACGTACGTACCTACCTAACTACGTACGTACCTACCTACGTACGTACCTACCTACGTACGTACGTACCTACCTACCTACCTACGTACGTACCTAACTACCTACGTACGTACGTACCTACATACATACATAAATAAATACGTACGTACCTACGTACCTACCTACCTACATACATACATACATAAATAAATATGCACGTACGTATGTGCCTACCTACATGCCTAATTACGTACCTACATACATATATAAATAAATAAATACGTACGTACCTACCTATCTACCTACGTACGTACCTACCTACCTACCTACATACATACATAAAAAGTAAATAAATAATTTTGTACGTACCTACGTACATACGTACCTACCTACGTACGTACGTACCTACATACATACATAAATAAATAAATACCTACCTACCTACGTACCTACATACCTACATAAATAAATACGTACCTACGTACCTACCTACCTACGTACCTAACTACCTACCTACGAATGTACGTACGTAAGTACCTACGTACCTACCTACCTACCTACATACATAAATAAATAAATTCGTACGTACCTACGTACGTACGTACCTACCTACGTACCTACTTACGTACCTACCTACCTACGTACGTACCTACCTACCTACGTACCTACATACATAAATAAATAAATACGTACCTACAGTACCTACCTACGTACCTACATACCTACATAAATAAATAAATACGTACCTACGTACCTACCTACCTACCTACGGACCTACCTACCTACGTACGTACCTACCTACGTACCTACATACATAAATAAATAAATACGTACCTACGTACCTACCTACCTACCTACGTACGTACGTAAGTACCTAGTACGTACCTACCTACCTACGTACGTACCTACCTACGTACGTACGTAAGTACCTAGTACGTACCTACCTACCTACGTACGTACCTAACTACGTTCCTACATACATAAATAAATAAATACGTACCTACGTACCTACCTACCTACCTACCTACCTACCTACCTACCTACGTACGTATGTACATACCTACCTACGTACCTACATACTTTCATACCTACCTACCTACCTACGTACCTACCTACCTACCTACGTACGTACGTACCTACCTACCTACGTACCTACATACATAAATAAATAAATACGTACCTACAGTACCTACCTACGTACCTACATACCTACATAAATAAATAAATACGTACCTACGTACCTACCTACCTACCTACGGACCTACCTACCTACGTACGTACCTACCTACGTACCTACATACATAAATAAATAAATAAATACGTACCTACGTACCTACCTACCTACCTACGTACGTACGTAAGTACCTAGTACGTACCTACCTACCTACGTACGTACCTACCTACGTACGTACGTAAGTACCTAGTACGTACCTACCTACCTACGTACGTACCTACCTACCTACGTACGTATGTACATACCTACCTACGTACCTACATACTTTCATACCTACATACCTACATAAATACAACAGCCATTACAGCAAAGAGATGAAAGCAGAAAAACAATATCAGCTGAAGCTCTGCAGAAAGCCTCGGCTGATCTCTCAGGGTCCGCTGTGGCTAAACGAGGTAAAGCACATCTATCAGGAAATGTTCAGAACGGGCCTCTGCCTGCTCAGTGAAGTCAAATTTCCTCACATAATGATTATCTTTCAGGATCAAGTCCAGCTAAGGAAGTCATCCTCTGGCTAAATGAGTTTCTGCAAGATGGATGTGTGAGACGTGGCAGCAGGCAGCAAGAAAAAAGCAGATCTGCTGGTTTGCTAGAATAAAGCGATTTGCATTGTTTTTAATGTTTTCACATGAGAATCGCCACCATGAAGCCAGGTTTCGATGGGAAGTTAGCAACAAAATGGATCCAGGATTACAATAAAATTCCCAAACACCAAACGCATTCAGCTGGCCAAGTCGGAGCCACAAAACTCCTCATTCATCCATCTGACTCACGTACTTTTTAGGAGACACGGACTCCTCGAGCATGGTGGACTCCTCATCACCTTCCAATCCAAAGCGGTCCTTGCTTTGCTTCTGCAGGAAACCAAACAGGAAACAGCAAAGAATTAATTTGGTTTTATTTTCTTATGAAACTCAGCTGTGTGTGACTCTGGCGCTCACGAGGAGCAGCTGCATCAGCCACAGGAGAAAACTCAGCTATTGATAAACGTCTCACCTTTTTCAGGATGATATCGATGTAACCAGCAATGAGCTGGGAGATCTGTTCCCCTTCAGTGGTTTGCACTGAGTAGTAGCTCTCCTGGTACTCCCCAAAGTCCTACACACACACAAGCACACACACACAAGCGTGCACGCACGCACGCATGCACAAGCACACACACACACACGTGCACACACACATACACAAGCACACACATGCACGCACGCACACACACACGCACAAGCGTGCACGCACGCATGCACAAGCACACACACACACGCACACAAGCGTGCATGCACGCACGCACAAGCACACACACACACACACGTGCACACACACACATACACAAGCACACACATGCGCGCACACGCACGCACAAGCACAGACACACATACACACACATGCACACACACATGCACACACACACAAGCACACACGCACGCACGCACGCACGCACAGACAAGCACAGACACACACACACATGCACACACACATACACACATGTGCATACACACATACACACACGCACGCACGCACACACACGCACGCACGCATGCACACACACATACGCACGCACACACACGCACGCACGCATGCACACACACATGCGCGCGCACGCACGCACAAGCACACACGCATGCACACACACGCATGCACGCACACACGCACGCACGCACACACACACACACACACACACACACACACACACACACACACACACACGTGTTGGTCCACCTGAAGCTGCAGCACAAACACATTCACCTAAAAACCGCCTCGCGGTTTGATAACGGAGATCTCTGCTGTTTCCATCAAGCATTTTTCATTTTTTCACAAGTTAGCCTTCAGGAAGCCGGCGGCATCAGCGACAGAGATTTTACAGATCAATAAGATTAAACTCGTGTTGTTGTCGGACTCCGAGTGTGGACATGAAGGACAGATATTTAGGACAGAGGAGACAAAAGGGTTTGTTCCATCCCTGGAAGATGGAGCGTGGTCTGGCGTCTGGTTTGGTTTTGGTGAATCTATCAGCTTACCGAGTGTTTTAGGATCAGGAGATGCTGTGTGAGTGTGTGCAGGTCTTTTCGCCCGGCCTGTGTCTCACCAGCGTGAAGCTCTTGGGTGATGCGGCCCACCTCCTCACGGACGTCAGCGGCCACTCCTGAACCACGTCTTTGGTCTTCTCATCCACCCTCATCACGGACTCTTTGGTGATGCCCAACAGTCGCGGCACCAGCTTGTTTTTACTCTTCATCTTCTCCTGCAAGCAAACCAAACACATCTGAATAAAAACACTGGAATGAAACTAAAGAGCACATCTCCGTCACATGAGCGCACAAACTTCTCTAACATTCTTTAAAAACATTATTAGCATGAAAGCATTTCAGGTGGAGTTGGAGGACTTTGCATGGCTGTATTTATGCATAGTTCATCATAAACATTTGAAATGACTGACATAGTAAATATGTGGGGGTTTGCCATGAGGTGGTCTAACTGGACTACTGGGAATTCCCTCGTGTGCATCTGGATTTAGGTCTACATCCTTAGTTGTTGCAGTAAGCGCAGGATGCTGGACTACAGGTAATCCGATGTCCTAAACCAGCGATTTTCTAGAGTCCAAACACGAAAGACATCCGTGACGTTCCTTTCTTGAGCTTTCTGATCATCTGGAATGAAAACAGATTTTACTAAAAGTCATTAAAAGTCTTTTAAGTGTAAATGTGCAGTTTCAGAAACTCGTCCTTAAACAATAAATAATAATAAAACTGATGCCCAACATCTCTTGGCTGAGTCCAGGGAGCTGGGCAGTCCCAGTGCATTCTGGGATTTGGAGTCTCAGTGACATACACAATCTGTTGTGCAGCAGCTTGCTGAAGGCAGACAGTTTTATTTTTTGCACTAGCGTTTTCCTTTAGGGGCTTTTATTGTTACTGCTTTACCATTTTTATTGTCTTTTTTATTTTTTTAATGCATGCTCTTACCGGATGCTGCTTTTTTTTTTCTTCAAATGTTTGTGTTCAGCACCTTGGGTTTCTGCTGAGGCAGTAAAATGTGCTTCATAAATGAAATGTCTTTGTGAAATTATTGAGAAACCATTTCTTAATGACTATTTTGGCGGTTGTTGGGTTAGCGTCCAGGAAACAGCAGAGAACGTCTCGGCTAGTAGGAGCTAACCATTAGCATTAGCAACTCCACCACACAGCAGAACTCCTCCAGGCTTGTGGTATTCATGGAGATAAAACATCAACGTTGCAGTGCTAACAGAGTCAGTGTTAGTGCCGTGCTGTTAGCCAATCAGAGGAGAGATGTCCAAATATCAGGAAATAAGACTGAATCCTGTCGTCTGAAGCTAGTTTCTCCTCCAGCTAACTTCCGCATCCTCAGATAGCCGCACCGGAGCATTTTCCCCACATAACGACTTAGTAATTTGAATTTAAGTTTAGTTATTTAATGTTAATTTTAGTGTTTACATGTTAATCAAAGGTTAGAGCTACGGATAGACCGATATGGTAGCTGGTCTGTATTTTAAATAGTGCCTTGTAGGGTTCTACAACCCCCCAAGGCGCTTTACAACACATCCAGTCATTCACCCACACACACACTAGGGTGACCATATTTCCATTTCCAAAAAAGAGGAGAGGAGATGAATGCCTACCGATGACATCACACTAGGGCTGGGCGATACGGCCTAAAATCAACATCACGAGATATTGAGGATTTAACCTCGATAACGATAAATGGATGATAACTACAGGTATGCGCAGAGACAAAAGTTGTCCACTAGATGGGGCTGTCACATTTTTTACATGACTCAAGGTGGTTCATCTTCTTAAAGGGACATGAATGTTGCCAACCTACACACATCTTTTCATTTTTTATTATTTAATTTATTGGCATGAGAAACATTATCACAGTAAGAGTCACAAATGTCCATAATACATTTTCAATTTATTGCCCAGACCGGGGGTCGGCAACCCGCGGCTCTGGAGCCGCATGCGGCTCTTCCATCCATCTGATGCGGCTCTCTGTGCTTGTAAAATAATGAATGGATAATTAAATAAAATGCTTTATATTTTACTGCATTAATTTTACATCTGTATGCCAATTCCATGTAAAGATTGTCTGCATAAACCTGAACAGATCCAACCCGGTCTTACTGTGAGACCGGGTTGACGGGTCACGCTTGTGCGTAATCATATCGGCGCTTTCTGAGCTGAAGAGGATGTGAGATTCTGGGCTTCTCCTCAGACGGCTCCTGGATGTGTCGCCACATTGGAGACAGGAACAAGCGCTATTCAGCCAAAGTTTCATAATCAGGGAACATTTTCTAAGTGACAAGTCTCTCTGAGAGACCGGGTTTGGAAAACTCTCGCTTCAGTCGGAGGATTCTTCCCGCATGCGCTCTGGTTCTGCGACGCGCTCCAAGCCTCTCTCCACATCTTCAGCTCGCTGTGCACCGTACGTACGCGCTGAAAGTGAGCTGCGCTGAGCAGTGTCCAGCTCAGATGTTCAGATGGGAATCTTTTCTTGAGTGATTTAGCTACATCTGCGATGTGCGTAACGAAGAAAATGTCAGTTCGTCTGCATGCGTCGGGGTAATTCTGTCTACTCTTTCTTCGTCAAAATAAACGGTCAAACACGGGAACTGTCTGGTCAGCACAAGCCCTGCTTTTAACTGTTCTGTTTTCTTGTGAAAATTGTTGCAAAGAGATATAATTTAACTTGATTAACACCAGAGCCTGGCGCACTACGCCGTTATCTCCGTCACTGTAAATGAGGGAAAAACAAATTGATCGGATCCTTTTCTGATCTTCCCCATCTACAAAGTTTAATTACAACAATCAAACGTGACAGAGCCTGGATTTGTATTCTGAACAGTCTGAACATGTTTTAAAAAGAAACGTATGACAAAAGTGGCACCTGCTCAGTAAAACCACCAACAGGGTGAAAAATATCTAAATATTGTAGGCAGAGGCGGGCTACAACTTCTGGATCCATTTTATATAAATCGTTTTATTGATTATCGTCTTATGAAAGATAACTTTGACGTACACGAGCGACCGGTACCGGCTGCTGTCACCTGTTGTGATTGGTTAAAGCAGCTCTCTGCTGTCTGAGGGTAGGCCCCGCCCACAACGCCGCAGCTGCTGTGGCTCCCAGTGTTTTCTTTACTGTGGGAAACGGGTAATAATGGCTCTTTGATGGGAACAGGTTGCCAACCCCTGGCCCAGCCCTACGTCACACTACGGCAAAACCACACAAACCATGTTAGGACCCTTTTTTTTCCAGGTGAAGAGCTAAAATTAGTATCAGATTCTGCCAACGAAAAGGCTCTAAAACAATTCATATGCAAATATTTAGCAAATTTATTGCTAAATCTCATTTTTCTGCTGCTTTAGTGCTGCAGAAACGTTTTATTAATAAGAAATTATTATACCTTTTGTTTACTACAGCATCGGTAAGCTTCCTGTGCACAGATTGTTAAGGATGCTTGTTTCAGCTGCATAGATGTAATTTTCACTTAAGAAGTGAGGGGGACACGGGGGGTGGGGGCGTATCTTTACAGTATGCTCTAATTGGAAACAGGCTTCAACACAAACGGTTGTTTTCCGCTTGGTCCTAGAGCTCAACCAGTGTCAGTTTAATATAGTGTAATATTGTTTTTGGATGGTAAAAAGTGCAGGGGTCAAAACTTGACTTTGGATAAAGTGGTGGTGGGGGGGGGGACATGTCCCCCCTGGCCCCCCCAAAAAGTATGTCCATGTTCAGCTGTGTGATTAGACAATAGGGTCAATGAAAAAAAGTTTGTCACAGACTCCATGGAAACTTTCAGAGAATCCACAAACAGTGGCTTTCACATGGTTTTGTTACTGACGGATGTTTGTTAGTTTAGAAAAGAAGCAGATGAGACATCATGTCCGACAGAGTTGTTGTTTGTTGGACAACATTAGAACATGTCAGTGATGTCTGGGGTGTTTTTATAAAAACGGTATAATTAACACTCCTGGACAGGGTAGGAATTACACAGAGGCTTCTGGGGGAACCCAGTGATGGGGGGGGGGGGGGGGGGGGGGGGGTCCATTTAGCCTTGGCCCCCAAAATGCCTTGAAACGGCCCTGGGTGTCTGACTGAGTTTTGAAGGTGATCTGAATTGTATCAGATGTATAAATATTACATGTGTATAACTCATTACTTCATACAGGTAGAAACGTGTAGTGGAGGTAAATCTACCAACATTTTACTTTTCAAACATTTTTCTTTGTTTTCTTGATTTTATTGAACTATTTTCCTGTCTGTCTCTCATCTTCTTGCATCTCCTCTAAACTCTCCAGAAAATCTGCTGCCTGGATTCTTACTTTTTCACCTCATCAGTTACTTTTGAGCAGATCAAAGGGATCTCCTGACCGCAAAGCGGAGAGCGCGTTTCGATGCTGCGTCAGTGAGGTGAAATCACTGCAGCACACGATGAGCGGAGCGCGTCAGGAACGATTAAAAGACAAGAGTACCAGAGGATATGAACAGATATGAACGATCATGTGTTAATAATAACGTTTTGTTGCATCACCTTGAGAATGTATCGTGCGCCGGACGCAGCGGGCGCACCAACGATCGGCGCTCTGCGTCCTCTCCGCTCAGCAGAATCCCGCTACGCTGAGAGTCCATAAATATTGTAATATAGGCACAAACTGGATCTTTTCATGAAAGAAATCTAACCTCCATAACTCGATCCCTGCTCCTGGATGAAAAACCAGACATTTTGATCAATGTAGGAACCCCCCCCCCCCCCCCCCCCAACCCCCCCCCCCCCCCGGACAGAGAGTGAAAAGTGGACATGTCCGGGGGAAAGAGGACGTATGGTCAGCCTAACACACACACACACACTGGTGGTGATGAGCTACAGCTGCCCTGGGGCGCACTGACAAATGCCACAGGTCCCGCTGACCAACAGGCAAGGAGTGTCTTGACCAAGGACCCAACGACTGGAACAGACGGGGCTCGAACCTGCAACCCTCCAGTTACGGGGTGGGCACTTAACCCCTCCGCCACCGTAAAAAGCGGGGACATTTAAAAAAAAAAAGAAGATGCCTATTAACGATCCACCGTGACCTTTGACCTTCTTTCAAAATCAGATTTGGACCTTTGGGATTGTTTGGCGTTTAAATTCTACATCCACCGAGATTTTTATATCTACCTTTCATGTTTCTGATGGTTTCGTTGTGTTCAAAAGCAATAAAAACTCAGATTCTGAAATGTTTTTGATGAGACTTGATTTCCTGCGTGAATCCTGTGAAAATGAGCCGCTCAGCGTCTCTCCTGCCTAAGCGCTTTGGGCTTCCTGACAGGGTTGCGGAAGGCGCTTTATAAATAAAGCTTTGATTGATTGATTGATTGAAGATCACTTCTGTTTATCCTGACCATCCTCAGGTATGTTCGTGTCTCTCTCTCTCACACACACACACACAAGCATGCACGCACGCACACGCACAAATGTGCACACACGCACGCGCACACACACACACACACACACGCAAACGTACACACGTGCGCGCGCACACACGCACACACACACGCAAACACACACACATATGCACAAACATGCACGCACACACGCACACGCACACACACACACACACACACACACACACACACACACACACACACACGTCTTCAGCAGGGTGTTCAGACGCGTAAAAGGTAGAGATGGCTGAATGCTGCAGGTTGCATGGAGCACAGCTAAACTTTGTGTTTCATATCCTGGCTGTCATCAAGGGTCCAGCATAAATTGGTTAAACATGGATTATAATCTGCATGAAAAAAGGGAAACTCACTAATTGTGACTTCATTAAAACATCACGGTTCGTGTCTAATTCCCACCGGCGAGCGTCACGGCCAGCGTCTCTGGTTTTATAACTCCAGCTCGCTGACGCTTCACAGGAATCAAAGGACAGATTAACAATCCAGCTACAAATACATCTAAAAAAATCTCTGCATGAAAGCTTGTCTTTCGTCTCTTGCCGACACGGCGGGGAGAGGGAAACGTCCTGGCTGGTAATTATTTGTCTGTCAGCTACTTCTAACCACCTGCTGCATTCACTAAACAGCTTTTAGCAAACCCCAGACGCTCTGAAATGGTTTTTGTCCTTTTCTGCTCCCAGAAAAAAGGAGAAAAGGCTCCTTGGAGAAGTTCTAAATAAACTTCAGAAGAAGTTTTAGTCTGCCAGTGTAACCATGAAGCCGTTAAAGCCTGCTGCAGCTCACCGCTCCCCACGGGGACGGGTCAAACGCAGAAGTGAATTTCACCAGTGTGATGATGACGACTACGGGACTTTAAACCTGCTGCAGCTAAACTCCGAAGTCTGCTCTCCCACCAGAGAACAAAAGATCTAGAAGCTGCATTTTCCTCTGTTTTAGATTGAAAAATCTAAAACAGATTTTCTATTCACTATTACTTTAAAAGCATTAAACGAAAAACAAACCTTAACCAGGAAGAAGGAGACGCCATACGTCCTCAGAGAGCGTGCCAGTTTGACGTATTTCACTTTGGCTTCGATCTCGCTCATTTCTCCACAGTTTTTGTGCTCCTGGTGATTAGATCGGTTCAAAAAGGCGTTTAAACCCAACGCAGACCTTTCAAAATAAAAGCACAGCTTCATTAGGATGATGTGAACAAACCTGGAATAACTTCTTTTCAGCTCCTCTCTGCTTGATGTACTCTTTGGGTAAAAACTCCTTCAGGCTGGGAAAGAAAAACGCGTCAGGCTGGAATTCACAGATTTTCATGAATTGGTTCTAGCATCTTGATTTGTTTTCTCGTTTGTCTTTCCATTTCTACATCACAGAGCCTTACTCCAAGAATCCCGGCTTGTGTTTGTGCTCTATGTGAGGTCCGAACTGGATCTGGGCCTGAATGCCTCCAAACTCACAGGCCTTGTCGAACGACACAGGATGGGAACCGTTGAGGATGTCGTCTCGGGCCTGGAGGAAGAACAAAACAATGCTGTCGTGATTTTATCGTTGAAAACTGCACAAACTCCTCCCACACTCACAGATCTCTGCATGCAGTGAGATTTTTTTTAGATGTTTTAAATCATTTAATAGCTGTTCATAAATTCTGCCTTCTGTGTGAAGCTCTAAATAACCTTTAGAGGACGCCCAGCCATAGAATAATAAATACACTGAATTATTTCTGCAGCATGCTTCAGCTTTACCTACACGAGTTGTTATTGATTTAGATGCTTTTCTGTAACGATCATCTATAATCCGGTTGATGTCGGGGACACACCGGCCGCCGAAGTGCCGCAAAAAGGGGACCGCCTTCATTCGGCGCCCTTGTTTTCCTATTCTATAGACCACATGGACCGCGAAGCGCCGCGTCAGCGCTCCAGCCCGCAGCGATCGTTTCGGCGTCTGCTCAATTTTTTTCTATTTTTTTTCGCGAGCCAAACCTAGACATAAGAGACAGGCCGGTAAATTTAACAAAATTAAGCATTTCAAAATACAATTGCACGATAGTCAAATGTGTTCGTAAACAGACACTGCATAAAAACCACACGAACACACACACACACAGCGAACTTGTGTGTGTGTGTGTGTGTGTGTGACCACGTGAAGGGGGTGTGGTTTTGGGTGTCTTTCAACCGGAGCAAACAGGACAGAGAGGCAGAAAGTCGTAGGCCAGCTATTAACAACTGGTTCACACCATAGGTTCACACACACACACACAGCAAGGGGGAGGGGGGTGTCGAGGAAAAGAGCAGAGAAAAGGCAGAGAGAAAATGGAGGACACCAAGTGGTTAACACATTCACTGCCAATGACGACTAAAGTTGTCATTTGCATTTTTTTACTGTTTGAGCATCAGAACGAGCCCCCGCGCTGAGAGAACAAACATCTCAGCCCTGAAGCCGATCTTCATCCGCATACGTCGCAGATCACATGATCAGGAAGCAACACATCCATGTGTTAGGAGATCGTTTTGGGCCGTTCCTGTAAAAAAAGTGAGGCGCGAACCGGAAAAGCTTCTGCCGATCACAATTCAACAACGGATTATGAAAGAACGGATAACGCTCGAAACGTGCGGCTTCTTCCTGATGTAAGAGGTGAGTCTCCTCTTTGTTTTGGTTGTTTTGGCATCGACATCATGCTAGCGCGCAACGTTCTGTGACTCTTAAAAAAACAGTAAAAATGGTGAGAAACGCTGACAGCGAAGGCCGTTAGTGATCAGGAAACGGCTGGCAGTGAATGAGTTAAAAGAAAAACTACGAGGCGCGCCTCGACCGGAGCGGAGAGGCAAGCGTCTGGTCTGAACTGAGGAGCAGCGAGCAGCGGCCGAATTTCGTGAGCGCTTCGCCTCCCGGCGCTTCGGTGGCCGGTGTGTCCCCTACCTGACCTGGAGAGTTACTGCTCGTGGCTTTGAAGTCCTTTCACCCTTTGATCAGAATTCTCTCTGATTTAAAGTCAAAATTCACCAAAGTTGTATTGTTGTTCAGTTTCCTAAAAACGAGCGCTGATAGAGACGTCTGCAGGTGTTTTACCTGCACGTAGAGCAGGTTCAGTTGGACCGGGTCCCGTGAGTCCACGTTCTGGTCCGAGTAGAAGAACTTGCGCCTGAGCAGCAGAGTCTCGTTCTCGTCCACGCCCTGCTCTCTGAACGTCCTGCTGTGGTCCAGCCAGTTCACTGAAAACATCAAATCAAAGGAAAAGCTTCAGTTTCAATTCAATTCAAATATACTTTATTAATCCCAGAGGGAAATTATCAGTACACACAAACCAGAGATCAGATATAGGCAAAGACACATGACAAGAATTGGTGACTATGGTCATTCGCAACCCGAGTCTCTCTACCTTAATAGAGATCAGAGGGGTTTATATGAGGATTGGTTCAGGTGGAGGGAAAAAAAGGCACTTCAGAGTTACCCTCCACAGGGAGGGCAGCTTTGCTATGCAAAAAACACCTCAGACACAAATGCAACAAACTTCAGACATCACACACATAAGTGTCCACTAGGTGGGGCGGTAGGGTTGGGGACCTTCCACACATCAGTGCATGCAGCCGCGATAAGCAGCGCTCGTCACCTCCGTTTGGACAGTGGGAGGAGGTAGTTGGGTTTTAGAGAGCAGAGTGACTCCTGGAAACGATTCAACGGCCTTCACCGGTCGCAGTCCCACCCAGGCTGGGATAGGGAGACAGTTGCCATGGCGACGGCAGCATTCCACATTTCTTCTGAGGGGGAGTAATCACTTCAGCCTCACAGGCTCAAGGGCACCAGATTCAGATAAGGACTTGTTTTGGGGCCAGACAGAGATAATTTCCTCTCTGTCTAAAAGTTCTGTTGATCCTCAACCCCTCTAGATCCAATAATGGCATAGATTAATCAATCCCAATCCGTGCTGACCCGTCAACTTTCTCCTTGATCGAATCCACCTTCTGTGCCAGAGTCTGAATCTCAGCCAAAGCTCCAAGCTTACGACTCATCTCGACAATTATATGAGTTTGTGCGTTCACAGTAAACAGTGTAATCCATCCCTGAGCTCCGGAGGCTAAATGTGAGTTTTAACTCTTTTTAAAGATTATTTCACCCCTAATGAGTCAATGTTTTTGTGCATCGAGTCTCTGCTCGACAAATTTGGGGTTTCTAATCTTATTTTTCCTAACGGATCAGTAGTAAACTGGAAAAATTAATTCTACACTTAAAGTTTAATTAGGTACAAAAAAGACCATTTCTGAAAGATTATTATTCTGCAGTTTCAGTCCGGTTAAAAACGACCAAATACTGATTAATTTAAAGGTGTGGACCACTTGTTTAATCATCTGCAGCGGTCTCTAGTAGGAACGAATGCCCTGCAAGTCGTACTCGGGGAAACAAAGCTCTGGCGCACCAGTTTCAGGAATGAGCTACATCAGAGTAGAGCTCAACTCAACAGGATTTGGAGCCTTACTTCCTGAGATTTGGACATCTCTCCTCTGATTGGCTAACAGCAACATGACTCTGATTCTGTTTGCTCTACAACGATGATGTCTTATCTCCACAAATAACACAAGCCTGGAGGAGTTGCTAATGCTAACAGTTAGCTTCCACTAGCTGAGACGTTCTCTGCTGTTTCCTGGACGCTACACCAACAACAGCTTTCCCCGTTGAGAGTCAAGATGGGCGAGTCCAGGATGTTAAGTGACAGTGTGATGTAGATCTGTAAGGATTATCTAATCCTAGAGTTTCACCGTCTATTTTCTATCAGACGCTAATGCAGGAGATAGGTGTAGGAGACTACTTTCATGTTCAGCCTGCATGAGACACTCATTATAATCAAAAATAATCATTAAAAATGTTTTCTCAGTGAACAACGCCTTTAAGTATTTTAACCCCTTAAAAACTATGGATTTAGAATGGTTGCATGTATTCAGTTTATAAAACTGGATTGAACTCAACTCAATTTAATCTCATTTAGTTTAGTTGTTGCTAAAATAAAACCCATGAATGAAACTTTTATTGTGCTCATTTTTTTTACTCGGAAGGCAGTGATGAAGCAGTGACACCAAACTGGCGTTTAAAGGGTTAAAATCCTGAAAACATTTAAATGTTTGGTGATTTTTAAGAGATTTATGCCTAAAAAAGCAGAACACTGGTTTTGTTTGGCAGCTGAGAGACAGTGAGCCATCTGGAGATGGTAAGTAGATGTCCACCTACATTCATCGTCTGTGTGCAGTTTGGCTTTCAGCTTCTCCATCTTCCTCTCATCCCGCAGCAGTGTCCGGTCTTTCTTCAGCGTCCCCGTTCCCTCCTCCTTTTTCTCCTCCGCCGTCTCCTGGATCAGAGAGTACTCCTCATAGTTCGTGATCCCTGAGGTCAAAAGGGGGAAACAATAATTCCGATGAGACCGGAGTGGATGGAAGTTTGTTTCCTCTTTAGGGGGAACATCTGAGAGAATGAAAGGACGAACCTATCCTGCTGCAGATGGTGACGAGCAGCTCGCCCACCGTCTTAGAGTCGTCCACCATGATTGTTTTTACGGCTCCGTCCAACATTTTGATTTTCTGGGGTCGTTGCTTCTTCTTGTATTCGAGGATGTCCTGGAAAGTAGGAACAGGAACAATCAGAAGGAGAGATAAAGAATCCAGGAAGGCTCCAGAGTCGTTGCTGAGGAAAATCATCAAACACATCCGGAAAGAGAGAGAAAACCGGATTTAACAGCCCGCTGCTCGGCTCCAGTCACACGAGGAGGTGAGAAGAGTCTGTCACAGTCATGCTTCTACCTGGGATGCCTTTGGTGGCTTTAGAGAGGACTTCACCACAGATGGACGGAGAAACGGACGGCAGCTGAAGCTCCTCCTGCTGTTTCTCTTTTTATGGGAGCTAATTTCCTTTTATAACACTTCAAATTAAAGTCACGTTTTGATAAATTGTTTAAAATGCTTTTATACTCGAGTTAAAGGGACATTTCTGAGTTTACATGCAACAGGACTGATAAGCTAACGGCTAGTCTGAGTCTTTGGCGCCATCTGCGCATGCACATTTTATTTTAGAAATAATTTACTTTGTTAGTTTTTGATCTAATGATCATTTTGAAGGAAATATTAGGCAAAACCTGCCAGATGTGACATTTTATAATAATAATAATAATGCATTGAACTTCGAAGGATCTTTCATGGCGGTTAAAACGAAGAGTCAGAGTACCCGGCCCGGAGGGTTACCGGGGTCCCACCCTGGAGCCAGGCCTGGGGTTGGGGCCCGTGAGCGAGCGCCTAGTGGCCGGGCTTTCGCCCATGGGGCCCGGCCGGGCCGAGCCCGAACCGGATACATGGGCTCGTCCAACTGTGGACCCACCACCCGCAGGAGGAACATGAAGGGTCCGGTGCAATGCGAATCGGGTGGCAGACCAAGGCGGGAGCCTTGGCGGTCCAATCCCCGGACAAGAAAACTAGTTTTTGGGACATGGAACGTCACCTCGCTGGCGGGGAAGGAGCCGGAGCTTGTGGCAGAGGTTGAGCGGTACCGGCTAGATATAGTCGGACTCACCTCGACACATTGCATTGGCTCTGGAACCCGAGACCTGGAGAGGGGTTGTACACTCTATGCTGGAGTTGCTCCGGGTGAGAGGCGGAGGGCTGGGGTTGGCTTTTTGTTAGCCCCGAGACTCTCTGCCTGTGTGTTGGGGTTTACCCCGGGGGACAAGAGGGTAGCTTCCTTGCACCTTCGGGTCGGGGAACGGGTCCTGACTGTTGTTTGTGCTTATGGGCCAAATATCAGTTCAGAGTACCCACCCTTTTTGGAGTCCCTGGGACGAGTGCTAGATAGTGCTCCATCAGGGGACTTCATTGTCCTGCTGGGGGACTTCAATGCTCACGTGGGCAATGACAGCTTGACCTGGAGGGGTGTGACTGGGAGGAACGGCCCACCTAATCAGAACTCGAGCGGTGTTTTGTTATTGGACTTCTGTGCAAGCCGCAGTTTGGCCATAACGAACACCATGTTCGAACATAAGGATGCCCACCGGTACACTTGGTACCAGGGCAGCCTAGGTCACAGGTCGATGATAGATTTTGTAGTCGTATCATCTGACCTGCGGCCGTATGTTTTGGACACCCGAGTGAAGAGAGGGGCGGAGCTGTCAACTGATCACCACCTGGTGGTGAGTTGGATCAGATGGCAAGGGAACATGCCGCGTAGACCTGGCAGACCCAAACGCATAGTGAGGGTCTGCTGGGAACGCCTGGCAGAAGAACCTGTCAAGACGGTCTTCAACTCCCACCTCCGGCAGAGCTTTGACCACGTCCCGAGAGCAGTGGGGGACATTGAGTCCGAGTGGGCCTTGTTCCACTCTGCGATTGTCGAGGCGGCTGTTGCTAGCTGTGGTCGTAAGGTGGCCGGTGCCAGTCGTGGTGGCAACCCCCGTACCCGCTGGTGGACACCAGAGGTTCGGGGAGCCGTCAGGCTGAAGGAGGAGGCCTACAGGGCGTGGCTGGTCTGTGGGTCTCCGGAGGCAGCAGACAGGTACCGGATAGCCAAGCGGGGTGCAGCAGTGGCACTTGCAAAGGCAAAATCTCGGGCGTGGGAGGAGTTTGGTGAGGCCATGGAGAAAGACTATCGATCGGCTCCAAAGAGGTTCTGGCAAACTGTCCGGCGCCTCAGGAGAGGAAGGCAGCAACTCGCTCACACTGTTTACAGTGGGGATGAGGAGCTGCTGACGTCAACTGAGGCTATAGTCGGACGGTGGAAGGAATACTTTGAGGAGCTCCTCAATCCCACCAATGCGCATTCCGAGGAGGAACCAGAGCTGGGAGGCCTGGGGATGGACTGTCCGATCTCGGGGGCAGAAGTTGCTGAGGTAGTCAAACAACTACACAGCCCCGGGGGCGGATGAGGTTCGTCCTGGGTATCTCAAGGCTATGGATGTTGTAGGGCTGTCATGGTTGACACGTCTCTACAACATTGCGTGGTCATCGGGGGCAGTTCCTAGGGAGTGGCAGACCGGGGTGGTGGTCCCCATCTTTAAGAAGGGTGACCTGAGGGTGTGTTCCAACTATAGGGGGATCACACTCCTCAGCCTCCCTGGAAAGGTCTACTCCAAGGTACTGGAGAGGAGGGTCCGATCGATAGTTGAATCTCAGATAGAGGAGGAGCAATGTGGTTTTCGTCCTGGCCGTGGAACTGTGGACCAGCTCTATACCCTTGCAAGGGTGATGGAGGGGGCATGGGAGTTTGCCCAACCAATCCACATGTGCTTTGTGGATTTGGAGAAGGCTTATGACCGTGTCCCCAGGGGCACCCTGTGGGGGATGCTCCAGGAGTATGGAGTGGGTGGCTTTCTGTTAAGGGCCATTCAGTCCCTTTACCAGAGGAGCGTGAGTTTGGTCCGCATAGCCGGTAGTAAGTCGGACCTGTTCCCAGTGAGGGTTGGACTCCGCCAGGGCTGCCCTTTGTCACCGGTTCTGTTCATCACTTTTATGGGCAGAATTTCTAGACGCAGCCGTGGTGTGGAGTGTGTCGAGTTTGGTGGCAGGAGAATCTCGTCTCTGCTTTTTGCGGATGATGTGGTCCTCCTAGCTTCATCCAGCTCTGACCTTCAGCTCTTGCTGGGTAGGTTCGCGGCCGAATGTGAAGCGGCTGGGATGAGGATCAGCACCTCCAAATCTGAGACCATGGTTCTCGACCGGAAAAGGGTGGCTTGCCACCTCCGGGTCGGGGGAGAGGTCCTACCTCAAGTGGAGGAGTTTAAGTATCTCGGGGTCTTGTTCACGAGTGAGGGTAGGAGGGATCGGGAGATCGACAGGCGGATTGGTTCGGCGTCTGCAGTGATGCGGACGCTGAGCCGATCTGTCGTGGGGAAGAGGGAGCTGAGCCAGAAAGCCAGGCTCTCGATTTACCGGTCGATCTACGTCCCAATCCTCACCTATGGTCATGAGCTTTGGGTAATGACCGAAAGAACGAGATCGCGGATACAAGCGGCCGAAATGAGTTTCCTCCGTAGGGTGGCCGGGCTCAGCCTTAGAGATAGGGTGAGGAGCTCGGACATTCGGGAGGGACTCGGAGTAGAACCGCTGCTCCTCCGGATCGAAAGGAGCCAGTTGAGGTGGTTTGGGCATCTGGTCAGGATGCCTCCTGGACGCCTCCCCGGGGAGGTGTTTCGGGCATGTCCTGCCGGCAGAAGGCCCCCGGGTCGACCCAGGACACGTTGGAGAGGTTACATCTCCAATCTGGTCCGGGAACGCCTTGGGGTCCTGCCAGAGGAGCTGGTGGACAAGGCCGGGGAGAGGACGGCCTGGAGCTCCCTAGTTGGGATGCTGCCCCCGCGACCCGGACCCGGATAAGCGGAGGAAGACGAAGACGAAGACGAAGCATTGAACTTATATAGCACTTTTCTAGACACTCAAAGACACTTTTCACACACTCTCACATTCACACACTGCTAGTGATGGTAAGCTACTTGTAGCCACAGCCGCCCTGGGGAGGTCTGTCAGAGGCGAGGCTGCCATTTGGCGCCGTCGGCACCTCTGACCACCGCTAACACAGGCAAGTTGGGTGAAGTGTCTTGCCCAAGGACACAACAGCAGGATACCCCTGGCGGGAGCTGGAATCGAACCCATGACCCTCCGATCATGAGGCAACCCGCTCTACCACCTGAGCTACTGCTGCCCCATTAATGTCACAGAAATACCCATCAAACAGATTCTGTCAGACATAAAATTGATCTCTCCAAACTAAGATCCTCTACTACAGGTAATACGGTCATTTGGAACAATTTCACACAGAGATAAACTTTAAAACGGCTCGGGTATCCTGTTCACGTGGTGAATAAAATCTGACGATTCCAGCAGCTCAAACTGAGGATTTGCACAAACTTGAGCCCTGCGTAAACATTACAGAGCTTTAACCAGATTTAGTTACCATTTCCACCATTTTATTTAAAATCCAAGCAATTATAAAACAACGAAAACGCAACTTAAAGCTCCACAGGTGGGGATTCTGTAAAAAGTGTTTGTTTGAGCTTTTCCTTGATTTTTAAGCTTCTTGGTTGAACTGATTGGTGTCTTTACCCCATTACGGAGCATGTAGTAGTCAAGCGTCCGCCCAGACTCCAACCAGATGCCTTTTCTGGGGTCTTCATCGGACAAAAACAAGCCGTAGTCCGAAGCTGCAGGTAAAGAGAATACGTCCAATTAGAGCAAGGAGAGCACAAATTGAGTCAGGTGTAGCATATTCTCATTTATCTTGTTTTAGATGAAAGCTAAACAGAAACTGGAAATTTCAGAAACAGGGTATCTGCAGGTTTAAGGGAGCCAAATGTAAGACTTTTTAAGACCTTTTTTAAGGCCACTTTGACCAAATTTAAGCTATTTTTAAACTAAATTTAAGCTATAATTTCCAGCTATTGCCAGGAACCGGTGCTAACCATGTCGCAAACATGGGATTAGCCATCCAGTTACCATTAAACTTGCACTTCCCCATGGCGCAAGCTCTCACTAGCTTAACCAGCTAATGTGCTCATCTAAAAATAGCCCCTTTCACAACCAACTGAACGTGTACGGTTCCGCTTACGCCAACATCGCACACAAAAAATGCTGAACACCAACTAGAAATTCACGAAAATGACAAAAATAAAAGAATCTTGTTTATTGGGTCTTTGGTAATTTAAGACCTTTGGAAACTGTATTTAAGGATTATTTGTCATTTTTAAGGATTTTTAAGGCCTTAAATCTGGAAAAGCAAATTTAAGATGTTTTAAGACTTTTTAAGGACCCGCGGATACCCTGAGAGATGAATTAAAGAACGTAAAGATCAGTTTTTCAGTTTAATCTGTAAAAAAAGAAGCGAAAGAAGACAAAGAGTGGGACAGCAGAGGAGAAAAAGACAAATAAAACTTTTTAACAGATAACTTGAAGGATCATTACATGAGTTTTCTAAGCACGCAAAGGGAAAAGAAAAATCTAACAGCACTTTTACCCACCCTGTCCGGTCTGAGCCTCGGGGACCCGCTCTCTGATCACCCTGCAGGCGTCGTACACGGCCGTGGACGGCTCGAACTGCATCGTCTTCACTACGTTGCACTGGCGAACGCAGATTTTGAGCGACAGCACCACCATGTTGGCGGTTGATGTTCAGCTACACCTGAAACAAGCGAGAACAGAAAACGTTCCGTTTAAAGACAGGTCGGAGATGAGTCAAGCAACATCTGCACAGATGCTACGCTGGTGTGGGAATATTATACAAGTTGAGACAGAATTCTCAGATGAAGTTGAATAAATCCCATCTTTTCTTCTCACTACTGCTGCTGATCAGCAAACGCACGCACACACACACACACACACACACACACACACACACACACACACACACACACACACGCACGCACGCACACACACACACCTGTCTTTCTATCATAGTGAGGACCTGCCATTGACTTCCATTCATTTCTGTGACTCCTCTATGCCTAACCCACACCCATACCCAATGCTGATCTATCCCTAACCCTAACCTCAACAAAAACTTTATTGAAACCAGACTGCTAAAACCAACTGGTACGCTTTTCAAAAAGGTGCAGACCACAAAAAATGTCCTCACTTTGAAAAATGACCTCACTCTGTTGGTTAAAACCTCATGATGGTCCTCAGTAGGTAATAAGTACAAGAACACACACACACAGGCACGCACACACACACACACACACGCACACACGCACACACACACGCAGACACGCACACACACAGACACACACACACACACACACACACACACAGGCACGCACAGGCACGCACACACACACGCACACACACACACACACACACACACACACACACACACACACACACTGTAACATTGAAGCTTTTCTAAAACTTCATAAAAAAAACACAGCTGATAACTCAATTCTCACGTCCTGGAACGGTCCATCTGGCCTCCACCAGAACAAAGTATCAAACTGTTCTGAGCTGAGGAACAACGAAGCTCTCCACGGAGTTCTCTGCTCCGGTAAAACCGGTCAAAGCTAATCCCAACTTCAATTATTCATTTAGGCAAAGCTGTGATTCGGCCGCGATGGTTAGGAGGAGGATTCTTGTAGATTTTATGTTTCTTCTCAAAATGGAGAAAGGAAAAAGAGTTCTGTGGCTCCTAACAGAGCACATCCTGTCTGGAACCGACGGGAACACAGAGCAGCTCTGTGACAGGCAGGTCAGAGGTCAGGGCAGGTCATTGCTGACGTTCACACGCCTGGCCCGTCGTTTGCTTTTGACCCTGACTCTCAGAATCTGGTTCCTAAGTGAGATGTGTTCACACACACACATGGAAGTATGGGGGTGTTGGACCGGATCACCGTGTTCCAACCTGCCGGGAAAGATCAAAGTCTGTTTCTGACATTCTTCCGTTTACATTCTGATGATGGAAAATGATTTAATATAGAGTAGGGACAATTAATGCAGATATAAGTGCTTCGACACTTCTGGTGAGGGATTAGGAGTGTGTTCACTGATTTGGCAACATGGTCATAATGTTTTGGCTCCTCTTTTGTCCTTCTCAAACTACAAAACAGAACAAAAAAAATCCCAAAAGCCTTGGATGTTGCCGGACATAAACCGGTACAGCCTCCATAAAGAACTGGTTATCCTGTAATTACATTTTCAGCAGATAATCCAACATGAAAAAAACATCCTCCTTAAAAGATGAGCTTCAGAAAATAAATAAGATTCTCTAGAATATCAGTTTTTGATGAGATTAGTCGCTAAAGTCTCCGCTGTCTTAAGGCGTGTTTCCCTCATCTTGCAGAATAATCTCTGCAGCTTTTAGCCTCAACGAGGCTGGAGCAGAGGAGCCACGGAGGAAGATACGAGCGCGGGATCATCCATCCATCCATTTTCTGAACCCGCTTGTCCACGTAGGGTCGCGGGGGGGGCTGGTGCCTATCTCCAGTGGTCAACGGGCAATCAATTCAATTCAATTCAATTTTATTTATATAGCGTCAAATCACGACAAGAGTCGTCTCAAGGCACTTCACATAATAAACATTCCAATTCAGGTCAGTTCATTAAGCCAATCAGAAATAATGTTTCCTATATAAGGAACCCAGCAAATTGCATCAAGTCACTGACTAGTGTCAGAGTCTTTACAGCAATCCTCATACTAAGCAAGCATATAGCGACAGTGGACAGGAAAACTCCCTTTTAACAGGAAGAAACCTCCAGAGGATCCTTGCTCAGTATAAGCAGCCATCCTCCACGACTCACTGGGGATCAAGAAGACAGAGCAGGCAGACAAAGACACACACACACACACACACACACACCAAGCAGTGTGTCTATGGTTACATTGTGATTTCTTAGTAAATATTCTATTTGGCGAGAAATTAACTTTATTGTATTTATCCTAGTGGATCTATAATTAAACGGGTAAACCAGCAGTAGCACATCCAACGTCAAGGAAAGCAAAAAGTTATTATCAGGAGAGGGAGAAAGTTTAAGTGGTTAGCAGCAGTGTGCTAGACGATGGCCCCCTCCATGAGGCCACCACAGCTCAGCAGAACAATCAGGCGGGGTACACCCCGGACAGAGAGCCAGTCCATCGCAGGGCAACACAGAAACACACAGGACAAACAATCATGCGCGCACACACTCACACCTGAGGACAATTTAGACAGACCAATCAACCTAACAGTCATGTTTTTGGACTGTGGGAGGAAGCCGGAGAACCCACGCATGCACAGGGAGAACATGCAAACTCCATGCAGAAAGATCCCAGGCCGGGAAGCGAACCCAGGACCTTCTTGCTGCAAGGCAACAGCGCTAACTGCTGCGCCACTGTGTAGCCGCACGGGATCATAATTATTTTGATTATGCTCATGAAGCAGAAATTATTACTGGTTATTAATCATTTTATCAGCTTACTGAGGGTTTCCTGGTGCGTTTTAACCACATCAAAGACGATATTACAACGCTGAGTATTTTACTTATATTTGAATAAATTAAATCAAGAAACACAGCTTTCTTTTTTTTTATTTAGCATGTTTTGTGAAATATCACAAATTTGCTCACGGCTAACATCCGAAACAAGCAAATAAACTTAAGAATTCTACAGGTGGAGTTTTGCTATAAATGTTCTTCACATAGTAGTGCAAACAATACATAAATGTTTCGTTTCAAAAAGGAATTATTTTATTTGCCTCTGAAACGCAGAAGACTACCACCCTCATCCAATAACATGAACGTCCCATTCTTAGTAACTGGTTCCTGATCCATACATCAAACTGACACCCCCACCCCTCTTCAAATCACACACTCTCATCTCGGAGCAGCTGAACAGGAAGTGAAGCCAGGGCTGGGCTAGCTAGATCAGCTAGCGTACTTAATTGTCATTCGGCTACAGACTGGCCGAAGTAGCAGAGGGAGGTTTCCAGTGTAACAAGACCAGTCCGCCCCACTGGATCTCTAATCAGGTCCCAGTGGCTTTTCGCTGAGGACAAAGTCTGGAGAACTTCTGACCGGCACCGGACCATGAGGAGTCTATGGCTCTGTGGCTTTTATGTGCCAATTATGGCAGAAAAGGTGCCAACGAGTCAGAAAGACAGAATGACGTGTTTTTATGCTTGTGGGACAGCATCCGCTTCATTCTCCTGCACTTCGGAGTCAGGACCTGGGGGCGGAGCCAGAAGAAAAGGGGTTGGACTTTTTGAATTGTGTTTTTCAAAATGTTGCTTGCTAGAACAAATTTTTCCAGGAAAGCTGACCCTACCTTTAAGTGGGTGGTTATAGGTACCAGTGAGTACTCATCTGTGAGTACTTGTACTCTGGAAAAACGTGGCATCGCTTTATCCCCGAAACTTTGCAAAAAAATTGTGTAAACCCCCCCACATGTCCAGGTAAATCTACATGTAAGCTTTTATGTTGCCTCATGAGACAAAACCCTAACCCTAAAACCGATGACAATCCAGAAAAAAGACACCTATTATAATTGGCTCCAACATAATCCCCCTGACCTTTGACAGATTATTTGTTATTATTTATGTTACACACTGCACTTTAAACCTCTTTCAGCTGCATTAGACGTAAATCCGCTGTGAATCATCGTAGATTATTGCACTGCACAACAATAGTGTCTACACAAGGCTGACGACATCTTAAGCTTTTATTTAAGGACGCTCAGGCTCGAAGAGTTCATTCATAAACATCTTAAGCTGATAAATCTTGACTGTGAGGCTTAGAGGAAGTCCCTGAAATATCAAAGTGTAAATCTTCTTATCCTGATTTAAGACAAAACGCATCCTGATTACTGCTAAAACATCTCATCATGGACTTTTCCCTCCTTCTGATGGAAGAACAGGAATTTCTGACCTCAAACCCCAAAACATTTAGACGAGTCATCTGGCAGCAAATAGGTTTAATGTGGGAATAAAGACTCAACCACGTCCTGGTCTGACGAACATCTAAAACGCTTTGTTTAGAGGGAAAAGAACATAACAAAATAAGGTGCTCAAAATGTTCTTTTTGTTTTCTGTCAGTAGTTCCATCTCCAAATCAAATTTTAAAACTTCACCTGAAGGCTCAAAAGCCAGAAAAAGCAAGTGAATGTATGGAAACCTGTCCTCTGAATGCCTGCGACACATTTTATGGCAAAAACAAGTCAGTACAATGCATTTGAAGAGGATTCAGTCAGTCACAAACACAGCTAAATATGGTTTAATCAGGTCAATGAAGAGGAATAGTTTTAGAAGAATTTACTGAGAGGAAAAACTGAAGCAAAGCTTCAGTTTAGATCCATGTAGGATGAAACCTCCGTGATCGTCTCCGTTTAGGCCAGCAGAGCCTCCATGAAAACCTCCAACATCCGAACCAGCTCTTTTCAAAAATCTGTTAAGACACTGAAGGTTCTGTGGCGTGTCTCCAGCTAAAAGGAATTCATAACCACATTTAGCGTGTTGTTGAATAAAAGCAGCTTGGGGTTGCACACCAAAACATCTGTGCCTTCTCCGATCTGCTATCTTTTGAAGTCAGTAATGCCGTCATGGCCGCGGAAAAATGGCTCACTCTGATAAAAGCAGGGGTGTTTCTCAATGCCAAGGAACCTTGCTTTGATGTCTTGGAAGGACAGTGTCCTCGTAAAGGTTGGTTTATGCTTGACGCGTC